CAGGCAAGGGCACTGTGGTTCTTGCCTACAGCAGAGGCCCTGATACATTCTGTATCCTAGTGTGACTGAAAGAGCACTGCTATGATGTTATTGCCTACCTGGCCAATATTGGACAGAAAGAGGACTTTGAAGAGACCAGGTAGAAGCTTGGGCATTGAAGCTTAGGGCCAAAAAGGATTTCATCAATGATGTCAGCAAGGAATTTGTGGAGAAGTTGGTCTGGCCATTTTGTTTGGTCTACCACCCCATATAAGGACCCCTACCTCCTGGTCGCCTCCCATGCCAGATCCTGCATTACCCACAAGTGGGTGAAATTTGCCTGCCAGAATGGGGCCAAGTATGTGTCCCATGAGGCTACAGAAAAGGAAAATGACCAGATCCAGTTTTAGCTAACCTGATATTCCTTGGCCGCTCAGATAAAGGTCATCACTTCCTAAAGAATGATTGAATTGTACAACAGATTCAAAGGATGCAATAACATGATGGAGTATGCAAAGAAATATAGTATCCTAAGAACTAGCCCTCAAAGAGCTCCTGAAGCATAAGTGAGAACCTTATACATATCAATTACAAAGCCAGAATTCTGGAGAACCCCAAGAGCCAGGCACTGTCTGGCCTCTACACAAAGACCCAGTCCCCTACAAAGGTTCCCAACAGATTCAATTCAAGAAAGGTGTCCACAAGCAGGTGACCAAATGTCAAAGATGGCACATCCTATCCATCACGTCATTGGAGCTCTTCTTCTCCTTAGAGCTCTACCTCAATGTAAATGAAATGTGGGCAAATACGAGATGAGCTGAATTGACATTGTGGAAAACAGTTTCATCAGAATGAAGTCCAATCCTCTGTCATGCTCATTTAAGCATTGAAGCTTTCATCATGGATTGGGAAGTACACAAAACCAAGTAGACCCTGAGCTTGAAATTTTCTGAATTGGTGTCCAGTGGTTTCTGGCACAAGAGAGGTATAGATGAGTAAAAAATAATAACAATAACTGGTATGTATATAGTACTTTATTGTTTGGTAAGTGCTTTAAAAATATTGCCTCATTTAATCATCACAGCAGCTAGGGGGTGAGAAAGCTGAGATTGGCAAAGGCTAAGCCACTTGCCAAGGGTATTTCATTCGTATTCAATTCCTTGTGATTCCACTTGGGGTTTTCTTGGCAAAGATACTGAACCGGTTTGCCATTTCCTTCTCCAGCTCATTTTACACATGAGGAAAATGAGGCAAACAAGGTTAAGTGACTTGCCCAAGGTCACACAGCCAGTAAGTGTCTGAGGCCAGATTTGAACTCAGGAAGATGAGTGTTCCTGATTCAGCACCCTATCTATCTACTGCACCATCTAGCTGCCCTCACATGGGATGAAAAAGCTGAGGCTGGCAAGGCTAAGCCACTAGTTAAGGGTGACACAGCTAATAAGTGTCTGAGGCTGGTTTTGAATGCATTGCCTTCCTGATTCCAGGTAGGTCACCCTAACCTTACCTAGCTGCCAAGAATCATTAAAACTGATAAACTACTATTTTTTTGCAAATCATGGAGGTTGCCTCAAATAGGTAATATTATTATCACTTAGCATTTCCCTTTACTTTTCCCATGTATGTGAGTTGCCTCTGTGTTGCCAAGTCCTAGGAAGAGATTGAGGGCAAGGTCCAGGTGTGGGTCTTCAAGGGCCAAGTCTACATCCTGGGCCAAGAGTCTTCACAATCACTGGGCATGAATATGCAGGGAGATTATGAGCCCTCTGATGCCCCTGCCTTCATCAACACCAACTCCCTCTGGCTAAAGGAATATCTTCAGAGCAAGGTCACCATTAAACGGACTAAGCAACTGTCAATAGCATGGAGCTGTTCCTTGTCGCTGTCAATTTCCCCAAGTAATGACAACGAATGTCATGACAATTTGCAACCATCATTCACTCTTCTGGTTTACAGCTCAGAGAGGTTTAGTTTCATGTTCCTTTAGCAAGCAAAAGTGATCAAGAAAGAGAGGAAAGTAGAAATTACTATAATAACAACAAAAATAATTAAAGACTACCTTGCATATGGGCAACTAGATGGTGCAGTGGATAGAGTGCTGGGAGTGGAGTCAGGAAGACTCATCTTCCTCAGTTCAAACCTGGCCTGAGACACTTACTAGTTGTGTGACCCTGAGGAAGTCACCTAACCCTGTTTGCCTCATTTTCCTCATCTATAAAATGAGCTGGAGAAGGAAATGGTTAACCACTCTGGTATCGTTGCCAAAAAAAAAAATGGGGTCATGAAGAGTTAGCCATGACTGAAACAAATGAACAGCAACCACCTTGCATATGGGAAAAAATGTAGTTTAAAACTAATACGAATCTCAAAATAAGACCACTATCTTAAATATGACATTTTTAAAAGTCTAAATAGTTTTTAAAAAAAGCATTTCATTCATTCATCCTTAGAACATTCTTAAGAAGCAAGCAGAATGAATGAGAGCCTCATGGTCTCCTTTGTGGGTAGTGAAACTGGAGCTCAGAGACATTAAACAATTCACCCAAACTTGAAAAAATAAAGTGTTGCCATAACTTTAACCCGGTTCTTTGACTTCTTCTAGTCTGGGATTGGAATCTAGTGTCTCTCATGGAAAGGAGAGATCCTCAAAATTAACTAATGGGGGGAGGGCACTTTGTTACCAGATCCCCCTGGCTCCACCACTTCTTTAACAACCAATTACACCCACGGAAATGGAAAGAGCAAAACAAGAAAATCGAATACTTTTAATTATAGTGACCAAGCTTGGTCCTAGAGAAACATTGAGCCAGTTTATCTCCTCTTTGCACAAATGGGAGACTATTTTATATACTATCAGACTCAAGCTTGCTTAGTTTTGCTACATTGATTTTTTAAAAATTATTTATTACATCACTGAGGCTGGGGGAGAGGGATCTATTCAGAAATGAAAATGATATAAAAACAAAATATATCTATAAAAAATTATAAAACACAAATTAATATTCCCTTTGTACCTGTCCTATTGCCCCATCCCTAAATCTCTTAGTGGTTAACTTTCCTTTCTGAGCTAAACAAGGGAGAATATTTATTTTCATATTATTAACAAAATATAAGCAGTGAAACTCTTTGGGGTTCTAGGGGTAATGGAAGCATTTTGTCTTTTGTTTTTCTTGGAAAAGGAGGTATTAAGAGAATTAGTTAAGATGAGTAAATAATAATAATAGCTAGAATTTATGTAGTGCTTGGACATTCAGTAAGTACTTTACCAATAACGTCTCATTTAATCCTCACAACAACCAATGGGAGGTAGGTGCTATTATTATCTGCATTTTACAGATGAGAAAGCTGAGGCTGGCAAAAGCTAAGCCATTTATTGAAGATGGCATAGCTAATAAGTGTGTAAGGCTGGTTTTGAATTCATGTCTCCCTGACTCCAGGTCCAGCACCTTACCCCTACCTAGCTGCCAAGAATCATTAAAAAAAAGATGAATTACTTTTTTTTTTTGCAAATCATGATGCTGTCTTTAAACAGGTTATATTATCATTATTATTATTATTATTACTTAACATTTCCCCTTCCTTTTCTCATGGATAGAGAATAAGAATTAAGGACAAAGTCATAAGATGTAAATTACAAGGATACACCTGTCTAAACTTCTACTTCAGGTTTGAAGACTAATTGTAACGCACAACATCTGAACTCCCAAATAGAAGAAAGTCCTGTCATATAATTAATACTACACTTTCGCACTATATAATCTCTATAAGTTTTTTAACTACTTCGGATATAGGAAAGAGGATAAATTTAGTATTTACGAGCAAGATTTTTAGAAATCTGAATAAAATCGACCACAAATCCCAAGAAATCTCTAGTCTTTTGCAATTCAAAGTTTCTCTTTGAGGGAAGCTATGGCTCCCTGAACAAAGGAACAAGACTTCCTAACCAACTCGTCAACTACTAGCTAATTAGACATCTTAATTAGGAAAAATATTTTTGCTGAAATCTCAGGTGAGATACCCCACCCTCTCAAGGCAAACGATTTGTATGTACTATTTTGTCTGTGGATCCCATACTGGATGCCTGGGTCTTAGCACAAACCACTAGGGGGCAGTGTGGTGCAAGTGAAAGAGTGCTAGGTTTAGCATCAGTGGCCCTAGGTACAAATCCCACCTTCAACTCTCACTCCCTGCGTGATCTGGGGTTAGTCACTTTCTCTTTCTTAGCCTTAGATCCCTCTCCTGTAAAATAAAGAAGCTGCATTAGTTGCCTTTGAAGATCCCTTTGACTCTCTCTATGATCCAAGAAATTTAAAACTGAATCTTAAACATTCTCAAGTAAAATGGCACATCATAATAAGTCAACATTTGCATAGCATGTTAAGGTTTGCAAAGGACTTTACATGTTGCCTCACTCGATTTGAACAAGAAGTGAAAGTCCTTTTTTTTTTTTAGTGCACAGAAGAAAACAGAAGGAAGGTCAGAAGGAATCCCAGAATCATGACAGCTTTGAAAATTACATGTTAAATCTATTACAGACTTTTAAAAAGAAAACAAGCTAGATATAATAGAGAAGGGCAGTTTCTTGTACAATAATATTTTTTTCTGTTCTACAATGTATATGGAAGTGCTCATTTTATTTGGTGTTTGTTAATGTCACAATAAATGTTTTTAATTTTAAAAAGTTAAAGCCTTATCCCTTTGTTCAATCTGAGAAAAAGGGCAATGTTCATTTTTCTAGGATTCTAGAATATTATTCTCATCCCCAGTCAGGATAATTGATGTCAACCTCTTTATTATGGGTTTCTCTCCAGGGAGAAGCTCTCTTGAGTTTATTGGTGTGAATGTGACAAAACACAGTAGTTCCAAGTGCCTTCATGGGTCTAACACTGTTAAGTGGAGCCAAACCAAATCTAGCTAAATATTAGCCATACATACCCAAAACAAACATATCAAAAAGAGCTATGCCCCTGGATTATTAAATTGTACCCATCAGTAATCCTCACCTCCTTTCCCTCTTCCAGGTCACAGAGAAGAATGCAGATCCTGAAGTCAACCTGCTGTCCTACCTGAGAAAGAACCGTATCCTTTCCCCATAACAATATTCAACCCCACTTCTGTATCATTTCAAAGTCTACGAAACATTTTGCTCACAACCCTTTGCAGTAGGTAGTACTTTTTATTACTATTCCCATTTCACAAATGAGAAAATGGGCTTGGAGAGGTGGATTTATTTCCCAGTCCAATCAATCAAGTATTTATTAGTTTTGTTATTAAGAGAACATTCTTCTCATCCCCAGCCAGGACAGCTGATATCAGCCTCTTTATCAAATGTGTCTCTCCAGGCATAGGCCCTCATGTGTGATCCTGTTGGTGGAAATAGGACTAACCCAGGCTCTGTACCAGGCTCTGGGAGTACAAAAGCAAATTAATCTGTCCCTGCTGTCATGGCACATTGTGAGAAAACATGTACCCATATAAGCAAATGCAAATATATAGAAAAATACAGAGTAATTGGGGAGGAGGGTACTAGGAGTGCCTGAGTGAGGAGGGGATCAGGAAACACTTCATATAGGAAGTAGCACTTGATCTAAGCCTTGAAAGAATAGAGGGATTCTAAAAAATAGAGGTAAGAAGAATGACATTCTAGGAAGTGGGAACTGCCAGAGTAAAGACCAGAAAAAGAAAATGGAATGTATGAAGAATAATTGGCCAGACCAGTTAGTGTTTGAAGGAGAGGAATCTAGCGCCTTCCTACCTTCCCAGTCTTTCTAGCCTTCACTCTCTTTCCTATACTCAACAATCTGGCAACTCCTGCCATGTTGCATTTCCTCCAACACAACACATTTTCCCATCCCTCCTTTCACTGGCTGACCCACCCCACTCCCCCAAGCCTGGAACATTCTCCCTCTCCTTATTTTTCATTTACATGTTATTGAGGTATTTCCTTCATTAGAATGTAGCCTCCTTGAGGACATGGATGCCAAGTCTTTGCTTTTCATTACATGCCCTTAGCACATTTACTTGGCACTTAGTAAGGTCTTAATAAATACACATTGAGAAGGCAATAAGCATTTATATAGCACATATAGAAGCTACATGACAGGCACTGCGCTGAGCTGTTTACAAACATTGTAGACAAACATTGTCTCATTTGATCATCACAACAACCCTTCAAGGGAGGTACTACTATCATCTCCACTTTACAATTGAGGAAACTGAGGCAAAGAGGTTACCTGTCTTGCCCAGAGTCACCCTTCTAGGAAGTGTCTGAGATAACATTTAAATTCAGTTCTTCTTGCCTCCAGGTTCAATGCTCTATCTACTGGGTCTCCTCATTGCCTAAATAATATGTAATAAGTGTAGAAAGTAGGCTGGAGGCAAGGTATGAAAAACTTTAAATGCCAGGCATGTTTATTCTACCCAAGAGGCAATAGATAGGCAGTGGAGCTTTGAGTAGGGGAGTAGAATCACTTGGTTAGTGATTTAATTGCTGTTTATAGTTTCTACAAACACCTAATCTGCGAATTAACCCTCAACAAAGTCTCCTGGCTCCTTCAGCACTCAGTTCTCACTCCACTCGGCCTGAGAGAAAGTCCAGTGAAGTCTGGTGCTTAGCATAGTACCTGGCACCTGGTGCTTGCTTAATCAATACTGTTTTGGGCAGCTGGGTGGCATAGTATATAGAGTGCCAGGCCTGCAGTCAGGAAGACTCATCTTCCTGGGTGCAAATCTGGCCTCAGACATTTACTAGCTGTATAGCCCTGGTCAAGTCATTTAACCCTGTTTGCCTCAGTTTCCTCAGCTGTAAAATGAGCTGGAGAAGGAAAGGGCAAACCACTCCAGTATCTTTGCTAAGAAAATCCCAACTACAGTCTTGAAGAGTCAGACATGACTGAAAAAAAAAAAACCTGACAGCAATCAATACTGTTTACTTGACTTAGCTTGAAACTGCTCTGGTTTCACAAAATAATAATAATAATGATGGCTAATATTTATGTAGCGCTTACTATGTGTGAGGCACCAGGCTAAGTGCCTTACAAAAGAGCTTTGTTCTCTAGCCTCCAGTTAACAGTCATGAAATTAAAACTAAGCACTTTAGCTCAGCTTGAATAATTCTCTAAAGGGCTTCACAAAGCCGTGCTAGTATTATTGCCTAATAAAGAGCTCTTATTGTATTTAGCTTGCACATGACTGCTAAATAGATTGTCTAACTTGCAATTAGCTTCTGGGAAAACACGTGTTTCCTTCCATTTCACCCAGATTTCCCCTGGCCAGATTCTCCACCCCAACCCCCTTCATTTCCATGTTGAATTATGTAGCTCTTCAAAATAATATGCATTCAATAATGAGCAAATGTAAGAGACTGTCCTTTAAAGAACCAGAAATTTTTAGAGTCTTGGGGGAAAACCCAACACTAGCCCATTGTACTATTCAGTGTTGCAGACATCATAAGAGTCAATTCAGTTAAGTACATAGAGGAGAGACAGCACTGGCATTGGAGAGAGAAAAGATGGGTGACAGTCTGCAATTATGATCCGGGATAAGTCATTTAACTAGTTACATGACCTTGAGCAAATCACTTGGTTAGAAGGGAATAAGCATTTACATTGTACCTACTATGAGGCAGGCACTGGACCAAGCACTTTACAAATTTTATCTCATTTGATTCTCACAAAGCCCCTGCAAGGTATGAGCTGTTACAATCCCCATTTTCCAGTTGAGGAAACTGAGGCAAACAGAAGGTAAGCCATTTGTCCAGGGTCACACAGTTAGTAAGTGTCTGAGATCAGATTAGAACTCAGGTCATAGTGATTCCAGGCCCAGCATTGTATTTACTTAGCCTTTCCGAACCTTAGTTTCCTCATGTGTAATATGGGCATGATAAAAATTGTACTATCTTCTTCATAAAGCTGCGTGTTTAGAATCAAATTAGAAAATGTATGTTGGGGCAGCTAGGTGGCACAGTAGATAGAGCACTGGCCCTGGATTCCGGAGGACCTGAGTTCAAATCTGGCCCAGACACATAACACTTACTAGCTGTGTGACCCTGGGCAAGTCACTTAACCCCATTGCCTAGACCAAAAAAAAAAAAAGATTTAAAAAAAAAGGACTGAGAAAATGTATGTAAGGGACTTTATAAACTTTAGAGCTCTATATGCAGTTAAGTGTCTATTAATAATAAAGATAATAGGAACAATTGAATGATACGTAGTAGACTTACATTCTACTGGAATGATATAATATGTAGCTAAGTAAGTAAATGCAACCTATATAGAAATTAATGCCAAGTAATTTCAAGTGGGAAAGACTAAGTAAAATCTGGGGGAATCAGGAAAAATGTAGGCAGTGATATTGGAACTATGCTTGGAAGGAAGCCTGAGAACTCTACGAGACAGGTGAGGACAGAGAGCTTTCCAAACATGGAGGACCACATCTACAAAGTCAGAGAGGTGGGAAATGGAATGTCATGAATGGGGAACATCTAGCAGGCCGATTTGACGGAAACAGAGAGTGTATAATGGAGAGGAGGAGACATGAAATAAATGTGGAAGGTAGGCAGAAAACAGACAGTGGAATCAGTCAGTCAATAAGCATTTATTATATAAAAAATATTATATAAGCATTTATTATATAAAAAATAATTACATGCCAACCACTGAGCTAAGCCTGCAGATACAATGAGAAGCAAACATACTGTCCCTGCTCACAAGGACCTCACAATCTAATGGGCGAACTAACGTGCAAACAAATATGTACACACAAGATACATGCAAAGTAGACAGAAAGTAATCTCACAGAGAAGGCACTAGCAGTAGAAGGACCTGCAAAGGTCTCCTGCAAAGGGTGGGATTTTAACGGAGTCTTGAAGGAAACCAGGAGTTGTAATAAGAAGGAAGAGTATTCTAGGCATGGGTAGGGCCTTAAAGTTCGGGCTGAAGATTTGGAAATGTATCCTAAAAGTAATAAGGAATCATTAAAGATTTTTGAAGAAGAGGGGAGAGGGTGTGACATGAGTTAGATCTGTGTTTCAGGAATATTAATATGGCATCTATGTGGAAGATGGATTGGAAAGGGGAGGCAAGGAAACCAATATGGAGGTTATGGTAATAATCCAGATGAGAGGTGATGAGGATCTTAAGTAGGGTAGAGGCTGTGTAAGTAAAGAGAAGGGGAGAGATGTAAGAGATGTAGAGATTACATTGTCTTGGCAACTGATCAATTATGGGAATTATCAAGATCTCTTTGGATCCTGGCTCTGCCATCCAGTGTGTTAGCTATACCTTCTAGCTTTATGTCATCTATAAACTTGAAAAGGATCCCATATATACCTTTATACTAATCATTAATAAAAATGGTGGTAGCACAGGGCCTAACACAAATCCCTAGGGAAATGCACTGCAGACCTCCTCCCAAGATAAAATGGAACCATTAATGACTACTCTTGGACTTTAGCCATTCAATCAGTTCTGAATCCTTCTAATTATACTGTCATCCAGTCCATATCTCTCCATCTTTTCCAAAAGACTGGCTTCTCTGGACTTTCCAGAACATTCTCAAGTCCCTTGCTAAAATCCAGGTGAAATATATCTACCCCATTTTCCTACTCTACCAGTTTAGAAACTGTAAAAGAAGAAGCAGAGGAAGAAGGAGGAGGAGGAGGAGAGGAGGAGGAGGAGAGAAAGAAGAGAAAAGATAAGAAAGGAAAAGAAAAGGAAAGTAAAGAAAGAAATCAGATTACTCTTATATGACCTGTCCTTGACGTTGCCACATTGGTTCTTTGGGATCACCAGTTCCTTTTCCAGATGTTCATCAGTCATATCTTTAATATCACATCCTAGAATTTGCTAGGAATAAAAGTCAAGCTCATTGATCTATCATTTTCAAATTCCATTTTCTTCTTTTAGAAAAAAAAATCAAAATGCCGTTTGCCTTCCTCCTGTTTTCCACAATCTTTAAAATATTATTTCCATTGGTCCAGCAGTCCCATTTGCCAGTTCTTTCAATAGCATGAGGATGTTGTCATCTGAGTCAGGGTATTAAACAATATCAAAGAGCGCTTAAGTGCCCTATTATTATCTTCTCACTTGTCTTGAGTATCGATTTCCTGTTAGCCTCATTTGTTCTGTCCTTTCCAGTCTGACAACAGCCATATTTGGCAAACAAAGCAGAACCAGAATGAGAATTAGGCATCCTTTCTTCCTCCTAATTAGTTATTTTCATCCAAACCAGCCCAAATAGCTATCCTATCTCTTCTGGAAACTCTTCTTTCCTAAAATATAGATTTTTTTTAGAACTTAAAACTTTGTTATTATTATTGTTGTTGTTCTCTTTCTCCTTCATTCTTATTTCCAGCCTCAGCTTGTTTTGAGCTTCCTCACTGTAGATACCTCTTCCAGGATCATGCCTTGCTTTGGCACCTTCAGTTACTTCCTTCATCTCCTATATGTAGCTTTTAAAAATCTAATTCGGTTGCTGTGTTCTCTGGGTATCCACATCAGTTTCTTCAGACAATTTCCTGTATCAAGGTATAAAGTGTCTTGGTCCACAGGTCTAAATATATTGAATTGGGTTAAACCAAATATCCAAATAGGACCTTTCCCTTCTGGATAGCTTTTGTTCATTTTTTTATATATCTGTTCATTCATTCATTTGTTTATTCCTCTTGATCTATATTTTCATTGGTATAGGGAATTTCTGGTGTGGAAGCTTCTTCCACCAAGTCAGGTAGGCAACTTATCTATACTGTATCATCTCAGAGGATTTCATGGGGGTGCTGACATGATAGATGACTAATTTAGGGTGACATAGCTGGCATAGTGTTGTCTCATCTTACATGGGGGTTAGGTTCTAATCTCTCAGGACATAATCTTTTAAATCAGCTGACTGATTGACCCTTCTCATCAAAAGCCTATATATTTTTGGCAAGAGTACATAGATGCTAAAAGCCTTTTATTCTAACATATTGCTATTGAAAGGCACACATTTGCAATTCACATCTTAGAGCCATAATTTTAACGTATTTTCAATATCCACTAATGCCTTTACCACTTTCACTTATCTAGAAATGCCATTACAGGTATCCTTTCCACATCACAAGGATTAGGGGCACAGCAACCCTGTGATCTACAAAATCCTCATAAAATTTTTTGGCCCTCCCTTCATGCCAGAAAGGTCTGAATTATTATGGTATTAAAAGATAAAATATGTTGATAGTATACAATACTATAAATATGTTATACATTTCTGAGTTTCTAAACTTTTTCTGTATCATCTGCTGGCCTTTGCATCTTGTTTATGGCTTCAGCAAAACTCCCCCAAAATTTCCATTTAATTTCTTCTGCCATCTGGCGATATATCGAAACCATGATGTGGAAGAGATAACTGTAGTTTCTTATTCTAACTTAAAAGCTAACAGGGCAAAATTCCTTCCCCATAACCCAATGGCTACAAAGGACAGGATAAAGAGCTAAGCAAAGGTTTAACTGATGGGAAATATTTTCTTTCCAATGTGGACATTGAAAACAAACAGGAGTCCCCTGACTCAAGGAGGGAACCAACAGATCAGCTCTCTCTCCAAGAGGAGAACTTGGTTTGCCAGTGCCCCATGGGTATTTCTCTCACACAAGAAAAGTCTTCAAGCAGAGACTGCTAAAGCTCCAGTCTCTTCCCGCTCCAATCCATCCTTTACTCAGCTTCCAAAGTGCTTTGGGTCAGACTATGTGACACTTTGCCACATTCCTCAATAAACTCTAGTAGCTCTCTATTAGCCTTGTGATCAACTATAAAGTCCTAAGTTTGGCTTTTAGAGCCCTTCACAATATGGCTTCCTTCTCCCTTTGCAGGCATCTTACATTTCACCCCCTTCCATGATTTCCATGATCCAGAGTATATAGAAAAGCACTTGTGTGGGTATATAAAACTACACATATATAGACATGTGCAAATATGTGTGTATATGCATGTGTATGTACATACGTATATTCATGGGTATACTATGAAGATTATTTCTTTTGGTAATCTGCCTCCCTGAGAGTAATTCCTCCCATGTAGGTCCATTTGACTGAAGGTCAACAAATCAAGAGGAAAGGCTAGAAGCTAAAAGCCTAATTAGCATCAGCTGATGGTCAAGTGTCAGGTGGCGGGGAGATACACACATAATCAGGATTTTACACAGCCCTTGGACAGCTGGCAAAGGAGCCTCCCCGGTGTGCCCAAGATCAGGCCTATTCAGGGTAGGGGTGTTTCCTTGTAGTCAATGTCATCAGACTGGCAGAATATCTATGTGTACTGAAGGTCGAAGGTCTAAGTGGGCACCTCCCTTTGAGGTGGAGTCAGACTGAGTCTGTCTTTACATATCCCTTCAGGCTATATTTTTTTTGACTCCTAAAGTTACTATTTCAGGAGAGATGTTTCCTCCAAACTCACAGCATACAGGTTTTTAAAAATTCCTCCAAGTATGTATACATGTTTGTGTGTGTATAAGATACATGTGTAGACATGTATATCTATGTGTGCTTTTATGTTATGTGTTGTATGTGTGACTATATGTATATGTATTCATGTGTGTATAGTTGAGCCATTTCCCCAAGTAGAGTGTGAGCTACTTGAGGACAGGAACAGTGTTTTTGCTTTTCTTTATATCCCAGGGTTTGTATATAGTAAGCGCTTAATAAATGCTTGTTGCTTGACTGACTGACTGATGGAAGGGATCAGGGTTAGTGGAGAAAGGTTAAGTGACAGGAGGCATAAAAAGTCCCAGGTACTTTCACAAATGATCTGGGTTCCAGGCTGGTTTGGTGGGCTTAGCTCAGGCCCATCCACCATAAGCAGGGAGGGAGGGAGGGAGGGAATATGAGTGTATGGGGAGGGGGTGGGGTGAGATTGACAGGTCTTTGGGGAGGGGACAGAGGTAGAGGAAAGGTTGGTCCAGAAGATGTTCAGTGAGTTGCCCAACTTCTCATATCTAACAAATGTCTGGGAGCCATCCTTCCAGGCCAGACTGATGGCTGAATTCCCTTAATTGAACTTACGAATGGGACCATACTATATATATCAGCAACAGAAATTGCACCCAGGTCTTCCTAATTCCAAGACTGCCTCTCTATCTGTTACACATGCTGTCTGCAATAGGGACAAAACGTGAGGAATCAAACCTTTTCCTTGACTGCTGCCTGTCCGGTTCGTCTCACAGGAACCAAATATGCTTGTGGAGGAGGAGGCTGTGGGGCCTGCACAGTGATGGTGTCAAAGTATGACCTCCTTTCCAAGAAAATAAGGTATCCTTTCTAAAAATCTGAAAAGCATCCGGCATGAAGTTCAATGGGAAATATTCCTTTACTAGGTTTATGCTCTCGTATTCTCAGGAGAGACATTAATTAATACAATTCCTAACACTACCCCTGGGTCTTAAAACAACAAAATCCAAGGGAGCCAACATCTGATTATGATTACTAATAGCCTCCTGCCTCTGGGTGCTTTTCCAAAGGCTCCTCAGGCATGGCTTAGACAGGAAAGGCAAATGGCAGTGGGAGAAACACAATGAGACATCTCTATCTCTTGCTTCCTCCACCACCTATACTGATTCCAATCGAAATGGTAGTTAGAAATGCAAAGGTCATCTTAAGAAACTTCCTATTTACCTACTGCCCAGGTAAGTGCCCTCCTTCTTCAATTAGCTGCCCGGGTGCCCTCATAGTATTCCATGTTATCCTCAAACTCTCCAACGAAGTTTTCCCAGAGGTCTTTCTTGTAGACTTCTGACATAAATCCACACACAAGTGCTTACCGCTTGCCACTAATTACCCTTACATCCAGATTTTGGGTCTGTTGTTGTCTAAAATCTTTTTTTTTCTTCAGTTTACAAGGTATTTCCCATACAACAGCTCTGTGAGATAGTAAAAGTAATATTAACCACATTTTACAGATAGAAAAATTGAGGCTCAAAGATGTTCAGTGACTTGCCCAACTTCTCATATCTAACAAATGTCAAGGCCAATACAAAAATACAGAGATAAGTATCCTAACTCAGAAGTCCAATCTTTCAACTATATCATATGAATGCTATAAGTAAAGCAATCAAGGCTTCACCTATGGATGCCAGAACTTAAAGGGTGTTAACAGCACTTGAACTCTTTCAAGAGGTAGAAACAACTGAACTTAGTACTCAGTTAATAAACAGTTAGCTATGATCATAAGCTACCAGACGATCTCTTCCCTGGCCCAGTCTCATCTTTCTCCATTCTGGGAAGAAGCTTCCCCAGCATCTGCCTCTGATGTGTAATCTGATTCCATCTCTCCATTATAGATAGCCTATGAGGTTATTTACTCCAAGGACTATTGTGTCCGAAGATTCAATGTTTCTCCACTCCGGTACCATCATTGCTAGCTATAGTACTAATTAATACTACTTCTCAACCAGACTCCTAAGGGGCCAGTACCATTCCAGCTTCACCCTGGGTTACTGATCTTTATAACTACCACAAAGTCAACAGAGAGGATTTGAAGCTCCTATTTTCCTCAAAGAATGTTGAAAGACCCCAAACCCTTCAAAGGTACCCACCTCCTGGGACTCATGAGCAATGAAGATTTTCCACTCTTCACCCCTCTTTTCCAACATTCCCACCAAACTCGATTGTATTAGTGACCTTGATTTTACTTGTGTACAAACATGAAGACACTATGCAGCTACTGCTTGTCTGCTTCCCATCTGCTCTCTGTATGGGGCTGCGGTCACCACAGTGGAAGGTATTGGAAGCACCAGAACCAGGATCCATCCTGTTCAGGTAAGAGCATGTTAGCTTTTTATCATGAAATTGGAAATTGTTGGCCTGATTGGTTATCTACTTCAACCCTCTCATTTTACAAATGCCAGAAGCCAAAAGTGAGAGGAAGCAGCCTGCCTACAGTCACATGGCAGGTCCCAAAAGAGTGTCCAAACTACCAGTCAGGTCTTCTGCCTTCTCATCTAGTGCACTTTCCAACCCACCACACTGCCTCTATCATTTTTAAGAACTTTTCCCCTTCATATATCCTGTATTCACTATGCTATCTGACCCTTCAAGTTCTAATTATTTAAGTGGAAATTTTGATTTGCATCAGTCTTAGAAGGGATCAGTTGAAGACAGAAAAAGAAATTATAGTATTCCTCTTCCTTATTCTTGTTCTTTGTTCATGAAGCTGTAGTTGGGAACTGTGCTGAGTAAGTTCCCAAGTTGATATGATAAAATCCAGGTTTAATCTCCAATGGTGGAATACTGGATTGGGGCAGTTCAATTCAACTCACTATTTACTGAGCATTTGCTGTTGGCAGAGTCCTGTGTTCTAGAAAGGCAAAAGTGGGAGACACAAAGTTTTGGTAAGACCAAGTCCTGGCTCTTTCTGGAGCTTACAATCTAGCTGGGGGAGGAGGAGTGATGCACATACACATATTAATCTAATAAATACGTATGGTAATGTGAACTCAATGTGAAATCCCTATGGAAAAGAAATCTGTGTTCTGGAGGATGTATAATCTTTATGAATATTCAAAAAAGATAAAATATTCAAAAATAAAAGATTCCCCACGGAAAGATAAAATCATTAAACACTACAGATGTATTTCATTTCTATTTACATCTAGTATACAAATAGCAAACTTGGTTTAATCCTTTTCCAAATCCAGAGTAAAAATCCATGTTTAATTTCACTTATCCTTGCACTTTAAGGGTGGATTCTGTTCTTGATTTCAACAAAACATTGTGGACTTTCAAGAAAAGTCATTTTCCCAGCATTTGACTCACTTTATAAAAATCTAGATACATATAGAAATGAGACAATTAATTTTAAAATACTCCATTGATTCATTAGATAACACATATATTTTTTAACAGTGTCTTATGAGAGTGTTAGTGGCAACCAGACAGGGTTGGCAACACCAGGAACTCAGACCACACATAGAGTGAGGGTTTGTTTTTGTTTTTGTGTTTTTCTGAATAAAAAATCAATGACAAGGCCTGCTTGACTTTTGGAGGAAAGCCCTAGATTTGGAATCAGAGGGCCTCAGTTCAAATTCAGAATTGTTCTAGATCAACTAGACCAAATTCTGGTTGGTCAACTTACTAGGGGAAGGGAATAAGCATCCATATGGCACCTACTGTGTGCCAGGCACTGTGCTAAGCTCTTTATAAATGTTATCTCATCTGATTCTCACAACATCTCTGTAAGGAAGGTGCTGTTATTATCTGCTTTTTACAATTGAAAAAACTGAGGCAAACAGAGGTTAAATGATTTGCCCAGGACTACATAGCTAATAAGCGTCTGAGGTTGGATTTGAACTCAGGTCTTCCTGACTCCAGGCCTGTATCCACTGCACCGCTTAGCTGCTTCAACTTACTCCCTGTATGACCTTGAGAAAGTCATTTCTTTGGGCATTGGTATCTTCATCTATGAAATGAGAGAATTAGACTTAGTTCAGGGATTCTTGACCTAGGGTTCTCAAACTCCTAAGGAATCCTGGAGTAGATTTCATGGAGTCTAAGAACTTGGAAGGGAGGAAAGGGGGTACTACATCTTTATTTTCACTGAAATCTAACTGAAATTTAGCATTTCCTTCAGTTATGAATGTAGGTTTCACATGTCATTGGGGCATGAGGGGTCACCACGAGATGGTCATAGGAGTCCATTGCACAGAAAAGGTTAGGAAGCCTTGAACTAGATGATCTCTAAACAATCTTCTTGCTTGACATCTTATAATCCTGTGCCTACATATGTGTCAACCCAGGAGAGGATTGCCAAAGGCCATGGTACTCAATGTGGATTCTGCACCCCAGGGATGGTGATGTCCTTATATACTCTCCTGAGGAACCACCCAGAGCCCTCTCCAGAGCAGCTGACTGAAGCCCTGGGAGGTAGGTTTAGATAAAGGAGGAATGAGGGGTTTGGGGAGCAGGTTAAAAAGCCTATTATATTTAACCCTGTGAGGAACAAACTTTATAAGCCTGTGAATTCAACCAGCTGTTAGCCTATGTTTGCACTTTACTGGACTGGAAAATCTGGGGAAACCTATTGAGCAACTCAACATCCTCAAGATATGGCAAATAGATCAATTATTCTTTTGTAATCTAGCGTTTTACCTATGGGGAATCGGGAGAGAAAAAATGAAATTGTCAATCCCTGGCACTAGGACAGGGAAGACAAGACAAGAACAGATTCTGAATAGTATAGAGGAAATGGGAGAGTGGAGAAAGAATAATACAGGAATTAAAAAAAAAAAAAACCTAAATTCAGATCTTGTAATCAAAGTTCTTCAATTGAAAAAAACATGTATTAAGTAATTAATATGCACCAGTCACTAAGCTAAGGCCAAGGAACACTAAATTGAAAAATAAATCAAAATAATCTCTGCCTTTAGGGAGCTTACATTCTAATGGGGGAAATCAGACAAATACACAAATTAGTATGAACATAGATTGCAATAAGGATAAATGAGACAAAGTAGTCTAAGAAAATTTGAGGAGAAAGAGATTTCTCCCATCTGGCTGAGATCAGGGAATGCTTGATACAGGAAATAGCACCTAACTTGGACTTTGAAAAAAAGGATTTTCCACAGGTGAAAATGTAAAGGAAGTGCCTTCCAAGCATGGAGTATGTGGGAAGATGGCAGGACTAGATATAGGACTAGTTAGCTGTGCACAAAGTGGAGAAATAGAAATAAGTCTGGAAAGGGTTGGAACCAGATCACAGAGGTCTGTAAGAGCCAGGCTAAGGCATTTGTATTTTATGCTATAGGCTAGATAGAGAGCATTTGGAAGTTCCTCAGCCAGAGAGAAAAGGTCAGCCCTGCATATCAGAATGGTTTTTTTGTAGTCATGCAAAGGATAGATGTTAAATAGGAGAGACTAAAGGCAGGTAGACTGGTTAGGAGACCAAGACAATAGTCTAGGTGAGGGTTAACACAGGCTAGATAAATATGGCGGTACTGTGAGTGCGGAGAAGGGCATCGATTTGAGAGATGTTATAGATGTAGAATTGGTGAAACCCAACAAGTGTTTGTGTGGAGGTGGGGAAAGAGTAAGAGAAAGAGCAAAGAAGAGTCCCAGATGATCCCCAGGTTTCAAGCCTAGATAAGTGGGAAGATAGTGATGCTATCAATAGAAATAGAAAGATGGAAGGAAAGACAATTTTAGTGGGAATAGTTAGCCTGTAGATGTAGGCTTTACAATTTGCAAAATGCTTTACATATGTTAATTTCACAATAAGTCTGTGATATAGATGCCATCATTCCTCTATTCTACAGATGGGCTGGACAACTGAGGCTAGAAGAGGTTAAATGATTTGCCTAGGATTATGCAAACTATTAAGGGTCAGAGGTGGGATGTGTACTCAGTTCTTCCTAACTCTAAGTCCAGCACTCTTTATACCGCACCACCTGAACAAAATGCTGGTAGGTCATCCGAGTGGATGTCTTGCAAGCAGTTGGGAACGTGGAATTGGAACGAAGGTAAAAATTTGGGACTAGATATGTAGATTTTAGGAATCATCTGTAAAGAGATAATAATTAAACTAATGGGATAAAATGAGGTCACTATGAATAAAAGCATAGAGACAGGAAGAGACTGAGCCTTGTGAGACATTCACACTGAGGGGATAGGAGAAACAGGCCAAACATTTTTTTACACAGCTAAGCAGGCATACTCAAACAAATAGAAGAAACAAGAGATAGTAATGTCATGGGAGCTAAGGCAGGAGGGAACATCCAGGAGGATCAACAATGTCAAATACTGTTGAAAAATCAATGAGAATGATGACTGAGAACTAGCCAGAAATGAAAAGACCATGCAGAAGGAGGGAGTGACTAAGAAGGATGAGGACTGAGAAAACACCATTGAATTTTGGGAACTGAGAAATCATTGTTGATCTTGGAAAGAGGGAAGGGAATACACATTTATAAAGTGCCTACTAGGGAGGTGGAGCCAAGATGGCAGAGTGAAGGCAGTGACTTGCTTGAGCTCTCCTCCAAACCCCTCCAAATACTCATAAAAAATGGCCCTAAACAAATTCTGAAGCAGCAGAACCCACAAAAAGACAGAGTGAAACAAATTTCCAGCCCAAGACAACCTGGATGATTGATCAGAAAGGTGTATTGCACCGGGCTGGGAGTGCAGCACAGCACGCGTGGGTGCACAGGCCCCAGAGTGGGCGCACAGGCTGCAGCAAACCTGGAGCGGGCCTCAGAGGACTGAATCTTGGGCATCTGTGGAGGTTTCCAGACTCCTCAATCCGCCAATCCAAAGACAAAATTAGAAAGTCAGTGGGAAAAGTCTGTTTCTGTCGGTGCCTGAGAAAGGAAGGCAGGGTTTCAGCTCCATTCCCCAAGAGCATGGCCCTGTGAGGGGGCAGCTGCTTCCCGAACTTCTGGCCCACAGACTGAGGGGGAATCCAGTGGCTGATCAGAGAGGGACTGCAGGGATCTCTTTGCCAGTGCTGAGGCAGGAATCTCTTGCTTTGCCCATGTTTGGATCTGGGCCACAGTTCTGGGCAGCGGTGCTGGGGTGAGGAGGAGCACTGGCTTGGTGGAGCTTGTAGTGGTTGCGGAGAGGATCCCCTCATCACAGTTACAGGACAGAAAGGAGTACTTGTAGTCGCAGGCCAGGAAAGGAGTAAACACCTTGCCCCTTATCATACCACCTTGGAAGAACTGAAAATTTACAGGTCCCTACAAGTATCTCTGAAAACAGCTGTACAAACCCCCCAAGCTTGGGACAGTACATTCTCCACATTGGAAGCAGACTCTTACCTTAACAAAGAGTTTAAAACTCAAGTAATTGGCTGGGAACATGAGCAAGCAGCGCAAAAAGAGTCAGACTATATTATCTTACTTTGGTGACAAAGAAGACCAAAATGTACAACCAGAAGAAGACAACAAAGTCAAAGCCCTACATCCAAAGCCTCCAAGAAAAATATGAATTGGTCCCAGGCCATGGAAGAGCTCAAAAACATTTTGAGAAGCAAGTTAGAGAAGTAGAGGAAAAACTGAGAGTGATGCTAAAGGAGACCCAAAAAAATACTGAAGAAAATAACACCTTAAAAAATAGCCTAACCCAAATGGCAAAAGAGGTCCAAAAAGCCAATGAGGAGAAAAATGCCCTAAAAAGCAAAATTGGCCAATGGAAAAGGAAGTCCAAAAGCTTACTGAAGAAAATACTTCCTTAAAAATTAGAATAGAGCAATTGGAAGATAGTGACTTTATGAGAAATCAACACAGTAGAACAAATCCAAAAGAATGAAAAATTAGAAAACAATGTGAAATATCTCATTGGAAAAACAACTGACCTGGAAAATAGATCCAGGAGAGAGAATTTAAAAATTATTGGACTATCTGAAAGCCATGATCAAAAAAGAGCCTAGACATCATCTTTCAAGAAATTATCAAGGAAAACTGCCCTGATATAGAACCAGAGGGCAAAATAGAAATTGAAAGAATCCACAGATCTCCTCCTGAAAGAGATCCCCAAAGGAAAACTCCTAGGAATATTGTAGCCAAATTCCAGAGTTCCCAGGTCAAGGAGAAAATATTACAAGCTGCCAGAAGGAAACAGTTCAAGTACTGTGGAAACACAATCAGGATAACACAAGATTTAGCAGCTTCTACATTAAAGGACCGCAGGGCATGGAATATAATATTCCAGAGGGCAAAGGAGATAGGATTACAACCAAGAATCACCTACCCAGCAAAACTGAGTATAATCCTTCAGGGGAAAAAATGGTCATTCAGTGAAATAGAGGACTTTCAAGCATTCTTGATGAAAAGACCAGAGCTGAATAGAAAATTTGACTTTCAAATACAGGACTCAAGTGGAACATGAAGAGGTAAACAGGAAAGAGAAATCATAAGAGACTTATTAAGATTGAACTGTTTACATTCCTGCATGGAAAGATGATATTTATAACTCATGAGACCTTTGTCAGTATCAGGGTAGTTGGAGGAAAAAAATTATATGTATGTATATGTAGATAGATAGATAGAGGGCACAGGGTGAGTTGAAGATTAAGGGGTCATATCTGGAGAATAAAATTAAGGGATGAGAGAGGATTATACTCGGAGAAGAAGAAAGGGAGAGGTAGAATGGGGTAAATTATCTCACAAAAAAAACCAGAAAAGTCTCTTACAGTGGAAGGGGAAACAAGGGAAGGTGAGAGGGAATGAGTGAATCTTATTCTCATAGGATTTGGCTTAAGGAGGGAATAACATACCATTCAAGTGGGTATGGAAATCTGCCTTACCCTACAGGAAAAAGGGGGAGAAAGGGGACAAGAGAGCAGGGGGATGATAGAGAGGAGGGCAGATTGGGAAAGGGGTTAATCAGAAGGAAATACTTCTGAGGAGAGACAGGGTCAAAAGAAAGAATAGAATAAATGGGAGGGCAGGATAGGATTAAGGGAAATAGAGTTAGTTTTTCACAACATGTCTACTATGGACGTGTTTTGCATAACTGCACATGTACAACTTATATTGAGTTGCTTGCCTTTTCAATGAGGGTGGGTGGGGAGGGAGGAAGAGAGAAAATTTGAAACCTAAAGTTTTAAAAACATATGTTTAAAAAAAATGTTTTCCCATGCTACTGGGAAATAAATATAGGAAATGGGGTACAGAAGTCTATCCTGCCCTACAGGAAAATAGAAGGGGAAGGGGGTAAGAGAAGGGGAGAGAGACAGAAGAGAGGACAAAGTAGGGGAAGGGATATTCAGAATGCATGACATCTTGGGGTGGGGGGAGCTGGGGTGAAAATTTGGAACTCAAAAACTTGTGGAAGGGTATATTGAAAACTAAAAATAAATAAATTTATATTAAAATTTTTAAAAAATAAAGTGCCTACTATGTGCCAGGCCCTGTGCTAAGTGCTTTACAAATATTATCTCATTTGAGCAGTACCAGCAGAGGAAGAAACAAGAAACAAGAAGTCAGATTACTTAATAGTTTTATGCATTGATATTATCTCTTGTCTGAACTTTGTCAGATTTTTAAAAGTCTTTTTTTTAACCTAATGTGTCTCTAGTGTATTATCTAAAATTTGGCAAGATGGCAGGTGCTTATATTGTATGATAATCAACTGTGAATGATTTAGCTATTCTCAGCAATACAATGATTCAAGACAATTCCAAAAGACTTAGAAGGAAAAATGCTGTCCACCTCCAGAGGAAGAGTTGATTGAATCTGAATGCAGATTGAAGCAAACTATTTTTAATTCATTTTTCTTGAGTGGGTTTTTTTTGTTTGTTTTTTGGGGGGCTGGGAGAGGAGGTTGTATTTTCTTTCACAATATGACTAATACGGAAATATGTTTTGCATGTATAATGCATATTAAATTGCTTGCCTTCTCAAGGAGGGGGAAAGGGAGAGAGAGAATTTGGAACTCAGAATTTTAAAAAACAAATGTTAAAAATTGTTTTTACATGTAATTGGGAAAAAATAAAATGTTAAATAAAAAAAGGTTTTTTTTAATGGCAGGTGCTTCTGCTACCTACATTGAGGTGTCTTGGACATTAGCTATGCTTGTTTTCATCTGAAAATTTTCATGGATTAACCCAAGTTGGGATAATAAGCCAAAAGAAGATAAATTGACTCTTTTAGACTCAAGACCCAATATTAGACTAGGTTTGTGTGAGCCCACTGTCTTAGAAGAGCCCTGGACCCTACTTCATGTATATATGTGTAATTGTTGTTTTCACAATTAGAAAGTAAACTCCTTGAGGGCCAGAACTATTTGTGGCACAGTGGATAGAGTGCTGGCCTTAGATTCAGGGAAACCTAAATAGAAATCTTTCTTCTCACACTTACCAGCTAAGTGTCTCTGGGCAGTCACTTAATCCCTCCCAGACCCCATTTCCTCATTTAAAAATGGGTATAATAATAGCCTCTACATTACAAAGTTGTTGTAAGGTCCAAATGAGATACCATGTGTAAAGTGTTCCACAAACCTTAAGGGACTATGGAAATGCTAGTTTTGTTATTATTATTATTTTGTCTCTGTATCCCCAGCACCACAGGCAGAGCTTTGCACATAGTAGGCATTTACTCAATTATCATTGACTCGTTGATTTGAATAGATGATATTAGGTTACATGACTTCTAAGGTCCCTTCCAACTCTAAATCTGTGATCCTAAGAGGAGAGAGAATACTTTTTTGTTCTAATGCTGAGGTTTAGATGTTAGGGGTGCTTAGACCCCAAAATCACGACATGAGGGTCCTGCATGAAAAAATCCAACCCAAGACTTCTTTCAGCCAGATACAAAGTTTATTAAAGATCAGCCATCTAGTTAAACTCTTAAGGAATCTGACCTTTTGTGACACCTGTAAAGACAAATGGGCAAGAGGAAGTCTCAGCCCCTAAATGGCGGCCAGGAAGGATTTTATATACAGAAAGACTATGGGAGGGATCTGGGAGTGGTCAAGTAGTTTGGGGGTGACTGGGGGGTTGGGAGAAGGGGTGTCTTGACAGGAATGGCCAGTACTGGAGGAGGAGTTTAGGGAGGATCTTGAAGCTGAGGTGACTAAGGGTAGGTCTCTGGGACAATCCCAGTGGGAATGTCTGGGAGGTTGAATGGTCATCCGAGACAATAGAGGGCTAGGTTTAATTAGGATAACAAAGAATTGGGAGATTGGGCCCAGACAGATAAGGAAAGGCCAGTTGAGTAGATTATAGCCTCAAGCAACCACTTGAGACTTCTTTGACCAAGTAAGTGAGTTCTAGGAAAGTTTAAGGGTTTTGGGGCCCATAGACAAATAGGACCCAAATTCTTTTTGGGATGAGGGGCAAAGGTCTCGGTTTGGTCCCATACCCCATTACCAGCACCACAGGCAGAGTTTTGCATATAATAAGCATTTACTGAATTATCATTGATATGTTGATTTGAATAGATGATATCAGGTTACTTGACCTCTAAGGTCCCTTCCAACTCTAAATCTGTGATCCTAAGAGAAGAGAGAATACTTTTTTGTTCTGATTAGAGAAAAAAATCAGTAATTGGATAAAAATCATAATTAAAATCTTATTTTCTGACTTCAAAAATCCTGGTAAAAAGTCATCAGCTCTAAGTTTCTAGATAAGGCTCTTTTAAAAAAATCCATTTATAAATTGTATTTTATCTATTTTCAGGCAATCTATGCCGCTGCACTGGATATCGCTCAATTCTAGAAAGCAGCAAAACTTTCTGTGCTGTAAGTAGGAGACTTATGGGGAGGGGGAATAGTCTGAAGATTGGGCACAAATAATAATCAGTTGCTCAAGGTCTAGAAAAGATAACCCACGTGGAAAGGATGGAAAATCTAGGGTTGTTTAGATGCTAAAATAGACAAATCAATTCCTTATGCTGATTCATTGGCACTTTACTAGTTTGCTGAGGGCAGGTAGCACATTTTATCAGAGTGAAATGTTGGACCCATCAAAAGGGCCAAAGGAAAATGAACTGATATTATAACCAATATGGGGATTCATTAGTGCTTGGTTAGTGGGACTGAGCTAAGGAAGCCAAGTCTGTACCCAGGTCAGGCCCCCAGATTATACTGAATGATACATTCTATAAGTAAAAGATCACAACTAGGGGTCAGGTACAGATTCCCAGGAGCACAGAATGTCGGAACCAAAAGGGACCTGAAAGATAATCTCGTCCAGCTCCCTCATTGCCCAGAGAGTTAAGTCCAGAAGAAAATGTGAATTACTCAATGTCATATAGCAAGTTAAGGGCAGAACCAGGAGAGGAATCTCTGTTCCTATAAGATTGGACACGGAAAGAAGACTAGCTCTGAATACCAGGCTAATTAAGAAGGAGCAGGCAAGATGTAAAGTTTAGTTAGATTGTTCACCATTGTTATCCAAGGGCCTGGGATCACATGGAGGGAACCAGAAGTGAGTGGAACCCACATAGGATGTATGGCCAGAGACCCAGAACAGGTAGACAAGAACAAACAGAAACCTATCTGAGCACAGAGGAAATGTCCAGGGATCACTTCAAAGGCACAAAGGACACAGGTGGGAAATGGAATCCAGAAAAGGGGAGCAGGAACTGGATTTCAAGATCCAGTAGAACTCAGCAGGTCTACACAACAGCACATTGATGTGTGATTCTAGGAAGGGGGCCAATGTTCTCTATTCTGGCATTAAGCTCCTTTGTTAATGCAAAGGGACAAATGTGGCAGGAAGTAGGTGCTGCTCCTCAGAAATGAGGCAGAGCTGTCTCTACAGGTGCCTGGGGTGCTGGCAAAGCCCTGGGGCCCTTGGGAACTCCAAACAGCCCTGTCAAGTTTTCTTAGGTCAGGCCAATGTCACTAAATGGGGCCATGGTATTTACAGCTTGAGAGTCTCATTAAACAGTGGGTTGAACCATAGTGGAAATAGAGTACTTGATGAGGAATAGAAATAAAGAAAATTTAAGATTGTCTTCCTTCTGGAGAAAAACCTAGGTATGGATATTATAGCCTTTTTAGGGACAGACTTGGGCGTGATGGCAGCATAGATGCTGTCAGAAGCATGGCTAGAGATCCCTACCACTCAAATCTAGGCAATTCAATTAAACAAACATATTAAGCACCTACTATGTGCAAGAGACTAGGAACCAGTCTCTCCCATCATGGAGCTTACATTCTACTACTTACCATGCAGCTAATAAGCCCCAAAGATATTTCAAAGGCAGAAAACAATTCTCCCACAGAAGGAAGAGCCCCGACAAAGAAAAATACTTTTTGAGTTGATCCAAAGCTGGTTTCTTTCTATAAGAATAATTCACACTAACTCTGAACAGTCCATTATCTCTTCCAAAAGATTAATTTTACATAATAGGTTAGGTCCTATTTGTCCTGGTTTGGGGGGAAGTCATACCCTGAAAAGAATTCAGAATGGGGTAGTGATAATCACTTGAGCAGAGGGGTAAGCTATGGGCAGAGGCAGAAGGTGTTCAGGGGAGAACATTTTGCAGAAGTGTATATGAGGTGAGTAGTTACAAAACAGGAAAAAGAAGAAAGGAATGACTGTGTTAAAATTCATTAGCTGCACCCAGTCACTCATGTATAACGAGCTTCCCTCAAATGTTTATAAAAATAAAGATCTGTAAAACTTTTATTGTTGAAAGAAAGAAAAAGAAAGGAAGGAAGGATGGAAGGAAGTGTTGCAGTGTAGGGGTCTTGGGAACCCCAAAATGCAAGGGCAAAGGGCACGGAACTGCCAGGAAAGAATTTGACCACTCAAGCCTTCTTTCTGTCCAACTAGTTTATTAAAACACCAGTTGGGCTAGGCAAGATTCCTAGTGAGTCTGTGCATTTGATAGAGACAAGGCTAATGTTTTTCACAGGGAAAAAGATTGTGGGAAGATTTGGATGGGATTAAAGAGTGGCAAATAGCCTGGGGTGGTCCGGAGGTAACAGAAAATGGAGGGCCACAATGAAAGAACAGTTGAAAGGATTACTGGGATGAGCAATGCCTCAGGAGAACACCAGGGATCTGGGGTATGTGGGAAAGTCCAGGGACTCTTCCTTTTTTGGGGTTCAGATCCCACCCCCATGAAGGAAGGAAAAAAAGGGAAGGAGGGAGGGAGGAAAGAGAGAAATGAAGAGAGGGAAGGAGAAAGAAAGGGAAGAAGAAAGATAAGTTCTATGAAATATAAAAAGCTAGTTTCCTACATTTTTCAATAGAAAGACCTCCCTCATGGTTGTCATTTTGATTATGGGTTCTCCTACAGAAGAAGAAGCTAAGCAAATTTATTCCTGTATTATAAATTGCTTGGTTTTCTTAAAGATGAACCCATTTAGATACATAAATGATTCTCAGGATTTCACTCTTTTTTAGGAGTCAAACTGCTGTCAAATGAAGGGAACAGGGAAATGTTGTTTGGATGAAGAAGAAAATCAAACTTCATCATCTCATCAGAAAAATGATGTGAGTTACTTCCCCTCCCCCCATTTGTTTATTTTGTTGTTGTTCAGTAGCGTCAGACACTTTATGACCCTATTTGGGGTTTTCTTGGCAAAGATACTAGAGTGGTTTGCCATTTCCTTCTCCAGTTCATTTGACAGATGAAGAAACTGAGGCAAAACGGATTAAGTGACTTGGCTACGGTCACGTAGCTAGTAAGTATCTGAGGTCAGATTTGAACTTAAGAAGATGAGTCTTTCTGACTCCAGTCCCCAGGGTTTTATGTACTATGGCACCAACTAGCTGCCCCATTTGTTTATAGTTATTGCTTACAAGTTGGTGACAGAGGAGAAGGTGGACCCAGAGCTGAAAAGTGCCACTGTTAGTTTTGATTTTTCTATTGATCGTTACAAGTTCATATTCTGATCCTCACCTCTTTTACATTTAGGAAGTTTCATGCAATGTGGAGATAAAAATAGATAGAACATCAGACCTGGAGTCAAGAAGACCTGAGTTTAAATCAGGCTTCAGGCACTTCCTAGCTACACGACCCTGGTCAATTTTCTTAACCAATCTGCCTCAGTTTCCTCATGTGCAAAATGTGGATAATAGCATCTACTTCCCAGGGTTATTGTGAGGATCTCAAGAGATGTGTATTGCAATCTTAAAACACTATATAAATGCTAGGTATTATTACTATCAAGTTTCTCATCTAAAATGCATTTGTTTTGTAAAGTCCCACTGAGACTTTGAACTTTCTCTTCTAGTAAGGAAATTGGAGATTTCTTTGCAACTCTCATTTTGCCTGCTTAGGGTAAGAACTTCTTTCCCATAGACCTAGATTGAAATGCCTCAACTTTGCTTTCTTTTAGAAGATCTGCACCCAACTATACGCAAAAGAGGAGTTCCAGCCCTTGGATCCAACCCAGGATCTCATTTTCCCCCCAGAACTCTTGGTAAGATGTGTTACTTTTCTCTTTTCTACTTACCTATCACCATGGCATATTCAGTTGAATGAAACCAATCTCATTTATCTGCCTGTGCAATTGATAATATCATAAATTTATAAATAGCCATGCTTTGTAGCTCACCAAGGGCAGGCTGTTGTTCTATTCAGAAGCCTTTAACAGAGGATCTTCACCTTCAGCTGCCTAGCAAAGCCTGTGGAACCCTTTTCCAAATAATATTTTTAAGTGCATAAAGTGCATAAAATACAAATAAAATTAATTTTTTTGAAATACAAGTATATATTTATATACGTGTCTGTGTGTGTGTGTGTGTATGGGGAGAGAGAAAGAGAACAGGATGATACCTAAGTGTGTTTTTAAGGGAATTTGGCTTGTTTGCCAAAGTGATCTTCCTAAAGTCCTGATGTGACCATTTCACTCCCCTACTCAATAAACTCTAATAGCTCCCTGTTACTTCCAGGATTAAATATAAAATCCTCTGTTTGACCTTAAAAATCCTTTTCTACTCTTTCCTACCTTTCCAGTCTACTTACACTTTACTCCCCTCTACACACTACAATCCAGTGATGGACACTGGCTTCCTTGTTGTTCCTTCCATATATATACACCAGTCCATCTCCTGGCTCCCTGCCTTTTCACTGCCTGGAAGTTCCACTATGCTTTTCCTCCTCATTTCCTCTTCTTGGCTTCCTTGGCTTTCTTCAAGTCTCAGCTCAAATTCTTCTACAAGAGGGCTTTCCCTGTGCACCTCAATGCTGGAGCCTTCCCTTGGAGATTACCTCTAGGAGAAGAGGAGGGTGATGGGAGAGAGGGAGGAGAAAAAAAGAAGGAAGAGGAGGAGGAGGAGGAGGAAGAGAGAAAGAAGGAAGAGGAGATAGAGATGCTTAGAGGGGAAAAGACTGCCAAAAATGAGCAGAAAGATGATCATGTGGACAGCAATCATATAAAAATATAAAAATCACAAAAATGTCATATAAAATCTTTTATGTAAAAATCTTTTTCTAAAAAAGCTACTCGAATGTTTACCAAAATGTTCAAGTTTAGCAAAAGAGAGTCCCTGCTGGACATTAATGCAGATTAGGATTTCTTTTTAATGATGTGTAACCCTTTACCTTTGAGCTCTTGATCTGCATTACCTTGGTAACCATTTCATTTTTAAGTTTTAATAAAATTTTTTAATTTTAGTGTACAAGCTGTAATTTCTCTTAAAACACAACCTTTGATTTTCCCCAAATGGAACTGCCTCTTTTAAGCTATAAATCGCTGTCTTCATTTTTTCTATTAAAATTTATTTCAGTTTCAAAAAAAAATTTTTAAGGGGAGATTACCTTCAATTTGCCCTTTATGTAAATCATTGTACATAATTGTTTGCACATGGTCTCCCCCATTAGAACATGAGCTCATTGAGGGGAGGTACTATTTTGCCTTTCCCTGAATCTCTAGCACTTAGCATGGTTCCTGGCACACAGTAAGCACTTAATTAAATGCTTGTTGGCCGACAGAAGCATCGTCTTTTAGCATTCTTTCATAGAGGTTCTCTCACTGGACCCTTGCTGAGCTGTGTATCCCCAAGCAAAGCTATGAAGCCCTTGAAAGCTTGGTCTCCAGGGCCTTCAGTCTGATGACTTATCTCCTTAATCAAACAGCTGCCTGTCCCCTCTGTAGCTTCCACCTCCTGCCCCCTTAAATCTCAGCCCTCTGAAAACAGTGGGAGATTCAAAGCTCAAAGCATGAAATTCTGGAGGTTGAATTTCAGAGAACAACTATCAGAGGTGCTGCAGGGCCGTCGAGTTCCTGAAATTGTTCTCTATAGAGGATCACTGATTTTATGATCTAATTAGAAAGGCACTATCCCCTGCATGTTGTTTTCCCACAGAGAATGGCAGAAGATCCCAATAAAGAAACTCTAACTTTCTATGGTGAAAGGATTACTTGGATTTCCCCTGTAACCCTAAAGGAACTCTTGGAGCTGAAAGTGAAGTACCCTAAAAGTCCTCTTGTCGTGGGGAACACCTCAGTGGGTGAGTAGACCGAGCCCAATAACAACAACAACAAAAAAAAAGAGCTCTACATTCATGTAGCCTTTAAAATTTACATAGCACTTTCCTTACAGCAACCTGGTGAGGTGAGTAGTATAGGTATTATGATGCCCATTTTATAGCTGAGCTCATTAAGTGATTTGTTCATGGTCACACAAGTCCTAAGTATTAAAAGATAGCTTTACAGTTATCCCTTCCACAGCACAGTAGTTAGAGGCACAGCGCCCCTGCAATCTGGAAAATCCACATAAAATTTTTTGGCCCTCCCATCGTATCAGGGAAGAAGTCTGAATTATTATGCTATTAAAAGATAAAATATGTTGATATGATACAATACTATAGATATATTTTAAGCATTCTTGAGTTTCTAAACTTTTTCTGTGTTGTCTGCTGGCCTTCGCATGTTGTCTACAGCTTCCCCAAAACTCCCCAAAAAACTCCTATTTAATTTCTTGTGCTGACCTGCCGTATATCAAAATTGCAGTGAGAAAAGTCGTGATGTTGAAGGGATAACTGTAACTTCAAGAGTCTTAATTCCAAGGGCAGCTGAGATCCCTGATACCTACTTATTCTGTAATGATGAAATTTGTTAACTAAGGAAAAAAAATGAAAAAGAACTAAAAGCTCATTTTGCCTCCCACTACATCATTTTATGCGAAAATCTGAACTCTCTGAAATATGTTCCTTCTTTAGGACCAGCTATGAAATTCCAAGGACATTTTCACCCAATTCTCCTCTCCCCAGCCAGAATTTCTGAGCTAAGTATGGTGACTAATACAAATGATGGTGAGTTCCTAGTTTTCCTGGTAGAATATTACTCAGAATGATGACCACATTATATGGTAACTTCTGGAAATCAATATTGCTGTGGTGGTTCATAATTTCTTATCCCACTTGTTCTTTGGATCAAAGGCATCATTATTTACCTACAGAGCTGTCCTGCTCTCACCAAATCCACCAGACCCAACACTTGCTATTTTCTTCTCTGCCTAAAGAGCCAGGACATTGACTCACTGCACTGAAATTTCTGCCTCTTGACTACATTGGAGTATAGTCAGCTTGTGGTCCTGATAGTGTATTTTTTACCCTCATAATTACACTTATCTCATCATAAGCCTTTATGGGCATGTTGTATCAGCTCTACTCACCCCCCAAAAAGAAGGTTACAGTAAAAATGTTTACTGGCTAGTTAAGGGAAAGTCCATATGTCATCATTCTAGGAGTCCTACAGAAAACTGACCCCTAGGAAAGAAGGAGTAACAATTATAGAATAAACCCAACAGGGGATAAACCTAAAAAAAAAATCCCAGGTGGCTTTGGTGAATCTGAAAAACATTTGGATGTCTTCTCTGCTCCTCTCTTTGCAGGTTTGGTTATATTTGTAATATCAACTTTCCTATTATTGATCTTTTACCTTCTCTCTTACTGGCAGTAACTATCATTCAAGTACGTAGCTTCGTGCATCCTTTCCTTCAAAAAAAAAAACTATAGCAATCTCCCTTCTCCACTCAACAAGTCATCTTCTTTCAAGACCTGGTTCAAGCGCCATCTTTTCTATGAAGACTCTTTCTCCTTCATCTCCTTTGCTGACCCATCCATCAACCATATCCTACCCTTGACTTCGGCTATTCCCCAAGGCTCTGCCCTGGGCCCCTTTCTCATCTCCCCAGTGGGTTCAATTATCATTTCTATGCAGATGACTCACAGATCGACATATCCACAAATCCAACATCACCAGTCACCTATTGGACATTTACAACTGGATATTCTGTAGACATCTCAGACTGAACATGAATTTATTACCTCTCCCCCCAAACCCACCCTTATACCGAGTTTCTCTATTTCAATCGATAGTACCACCCTCTGTCCATTTCACAATCTTGGAATGATCATGGATTCTTCACTCTGTCTCATCGCCCTTATCCAGCCAGTTACCAAGGTTTATAGCTTCTCCCTCCACAACGTGCTTCATATTTGTCCACTTCTCTCTACTTACATAGCCATCATTTGAGTCTAGGCCTTTATCACCTCTTGCCTGGACTATTGCATTATTTTCCTAATTGCTCTTTTTTCTTCAAGCCTCTTCATTCTTTGATCTATCCCCATACAGCTGCCAAAGTGATATTCCTCAAACACAGGTCTGACAATGTACTGAAGGCCTTCCTCTGTTTCTCTTAATATCTCATGAGAACCAATTGAATGTTCCAGGGATGCTTAGATTGCCAATCTATCCTCTCGTTGTTTATACTGGACTGTCTCACTTCCTTTTTGTGATCATGCATTTCCCGGGTGGTGTGTTGTATGCCACTTCTCTACCATTGGTAATATGCCAAAACCTGTTTACAATCACCGTGAATCTTTCCATTGTCCCTTGTGTCATCTACAAGTACTGAGCATAATAAGCTATTAATTGTGAATTGAACTTTATAGCATAACTTTAGCAGGGAGTAAGGAATGAATTCTCTTTTCTTTATCATGAAACCATAACCAAATGGGTCCTTCTACTCATAAATCAGAATTTTTGCTTGAGACAACATATCAAAGACACACTTGGGGAGGGTAATGGAGTAGGCAGAGACTGGGACACCAGTGTAAGGGTAGGGGTTCAGAATCATCCCTGGGGATGGCAATTTACTATTTTAACTATTTGCTCTTGCTAACTAGGTACAGCTCAGGCTTGGCTAGTCCAGGAGGCCCTCAGATGTTGAATATTGGTGGTGACTGAGATTCACCACCTACTGTACCCAGCTACCCTCCACTCTGTCATTATTTTCATTGGAAAGGAAAAATCCTGGGGACCTCTTGCTTCAGTCTACTGATGGGGGACATTAATGCCAATCCCTGGGTGGAAACTTACCCCAAAGAGGAAAGGCAAGTGAGGGCAGGAGCTTAGTCAACCCAAGTGTGACTAAGCAGGTTTGTTCCCACTTCATGAATAGGAATGAGAAAAAGGGGTAGCAGGAGTAACCAAGCCTCATTGTTAGGTTATATGTAGTTGGAAGAGAGGGGTACAGACCTCACCTGCCTCTTTTGGTATCTTAAGCATCAGTTTTTTCATCCCACTCTTCAGGGATGATAAGCAAGGACAAAGGGCCAGGATCCCCAAGAATCAAGAGAAAGGTTAACTTTGGGGTTTTTAACTAAATGGTTTTTTTTCAGTAAAAATTTAGCCTTCTCTCCCTCACATATCCCCTCTTCCCCCCCAATGAAAAAGAAAGAAGAAAAAAACCTTGCTATAAACACATATAGTCAAATTCCTACATCAGGTATGTCCAAAAAAAGTCTCAGTGTGCACTCTGAGTCCATCACCTTTCTAGCAAGAGTCAGGTAGCATGTTTCATCATGAGTCCTCTGGAATCATGGCTGATCAAAGTTTTTAAGTTTTTCAAAAATGTCTTTACAATATGGCTGTCATTATATAAATTGTTCTGTTTCTGCTCACTTCATTCTACATCAGTTCATATAAATCTTCCCAGGCTTCTCTGAAACCTTGCCTTTCATCATTTTTTATAGCAAAATAGCATTGTCATATTTATATACCACAACTCATTCAGCCATTCTCTGATTGATGGACACCCCCTGCAAAAAGAGCTGCTATAAATATTGAGTACATCCTTAGAGTTTGCTTTGCTTAAGACTAATCCCCCACTTTAATCTACCCTTCCATTTATTTCCCCCTTTCCTTTCTTCCCTTTCTTTTCTGTTTTCTTGTTGAGTGAAATATATTTCTGTACCTGTGTGTGTGTGTGTGTGTGTGTGTGTGTGTGTGTGTGTGTGATGGGTATTTGTCACTCCTTTGACCATTTCAGATGAGAGCAAGGTTCTCCCTACCCCTCCCTTTTTATTTGTATAGACTTACACTTGCATTCTCCAATTACGTGAGATATTTTCCCCATCCTTTTTCCCTCCTATTACATTCTTCTTCCCCTCTCTTTTCATTCTTCTTTTAAGAAAATCAAAACAGAACAGAACTACTTATTCCCAGGCCCTCTATCTAGTAGACTCCCTCTATTACCTTTGATGACCATAGGGTTCTGAGGGGACACATGTATCTCTCCCCATATTAAACAGTTTATCTTCTTTAGTTCTTCAGCTCTGGTTTTTCAACAGAAATGCTTGGAAGTCCTCTATTTCACTAAAGATCCAATTTTTCTCCTGTAGAATTACATTCAGGTTTGCTGAGTAAGTTATTCTTGGTTTTAAGCCTATATACTTTGCTTTCTGGAACATCATATTCCAAACTCCCCCACTCCCTTCTTTATTATGGTTTGCTGCTAAATCTTGTATAATCCTGACTCTGACTCCTCTGTATTTGAGTTCTTTGTTGCTGCTTGCCATATTCTTTTCTTTGAGCAGGAAACTCTGGATTTTGGCTATAATGTTCCTGGAAGTTTTTATTCCGGAGTTTCTTTCAGGATGTGCCCAGTGAAATCTTTCTATTTCCATTTTGCCCTCTGGTTCTGAGAGACATAAGCAGTTTTCTTTTTGTGATTTCTTGACATGTTGTGTCTAGTTTCTTTCTTTCTTTCTTTCTTTGGTCATATATTTCAGGTAGTCCAATGATTCTTAAATTCTCTCTGCTCAATCTGTTTTCCAGATCAATTTTTTTAAATAAGATACCTTACATTTTCTTCTATTTTTTCAGTCTTTTGACTTTCTTTTAATAGTTCTTATTTTCTCATGGAGTCATTAGTTTCTATTTGATCCTTTCTGGTTTTCAGGGAATTTGTTGCTTGAGTAAGGTTTTATAACTTGAGTAATGTTGTGCCAAGCTATTAATCCCCTTTCCAATTCTTACTATCATAACTCTTATTTGTTTTCAGTTTATTCTTCTATTATTTTCACTTCATTTATAAATTTTTAAAAACTTTTTTAAACTCCTGTTTTACCTCTTCTAGGAATTCTAGGTGAATTTGTGCCCAAGCTATCTTTGTCTTTGAGGCTTTGTAAATGTTTTAGAATCACTCTCTTGAATCTGTATCTTGAGTGTCCTCACCATCATAATAGTTTTTTATAATGGAATGGGGTTTTTTTGTTTGTTCATTCTTCTAACCTACTTCCTGACTTTGGACTTTATGTTATATGCTGTGAACTTTTGGAAGGAATGTCTGGGCTGAGCTAAGGTGTCACTGCTGCTTTCTTAAGTGTTGTGTTATTCCATGATAACTAGTATTTATATAGCATTTTAAGACTTGCAAAGCACTTTACAATATTATCTTATTTTATCCTAACAACAACCCTAGGAGGTAGATGCTATTATTATCCCTGTTTCACAGATGAGGAAGATGTTAAGTGACTTCCCCAGGGTCACATAGCTAGTGTTTGAGTCTAGATTTGAACTCAGGTCTTTTTGACTCCATTGTGCCACCTAGCAAGTAAGGATCTCAGAGACAGCTGAGGCTGGGCACCTGAGAGCTTCCAGGGCTCCCAAAATAGTTTGATTGAGGGCAAATTCTGATCCCTGCCCTCCTGGTCTGAGCTCTACAAGTTCCCGATCTGGGTTTGGGTCTGAGGAACACCTCTGTAGGCTTGTCCCAAATAAGACTACCAGTAAACTGCTACTAGACTCAGCCAGAATCAGTCAACTGGAAAGCTCTGCAGATTCAGAGTGACAGAAATGTAAGCTCCTCTTTGGTTTGGTATTCCTGCCCTGGTTATTCCTCTACAGGCATCAGATTGGTCTGGAGGCTGGAACTGAAATCATACTCTGTTCCTGGGATCATACTTAGTCGACGTAGCTGCTATTTGCTTCTGAACTTGCTTCCTGCTCAGCAAGCAGCCTAGGGTCCACAATGCTCCTCTCCCTGGAATGCCACCTTTAGGTGAAAATCTCCCACTCAGTCACCCAAAAGCTGTGACTCAGAACTGGGTAGTGAGTAACAGAGCTTCCATTTGGAAGCTATTCCTATACTCTAGACAAGGGCATGCCCCTCTGTGCTCTATCTGCAAGTGTTTTTTGCCCTCATGCACAGCCTACTCCTGCACTAGAATGCACCACACTGTTACTCCTGGCTGGACCCCCACCTCCACTGTCCATAGACCTCTTTGTCTCTCTCCCTTTGAAGACCTGGGCTATAAATATGACTCACTTTGACTCACTTTTTTTTCTTGGATTTTCTGATGATGACTTAGTCTGACACATTTTTAGGTATGTTTAAAAGTCTTGTGAAGGGAGGGCTTAACTGTACTTCTTCCTGCTTTTCTGTCATCTTGGCTCTGACTCTGGGTAAGCTTTTGGTAAAGGCACTCCTGACACCCACACATATTAAAGGCTCTTTCCTAAAGACAAGAGTGACTAATTTCAAGGGCCCTACTCAAGTCCAATGCTTGCTGCTGAGGTAGTCCAAGACTTTCCCTGTACTCCGCCCCCCCGCCCAGATACTGAGATCATCCCTGGCTTGAAGTTGAACAATCCTAGGGTCACTAATGATTCTCATCCTGGTGCCCAACTCTAAGTGCCCAGGGTGTTGGGGGCTGCTGTGAGCTGAGGAAAGAAATATCCCCTGATATTCTATTATTCGTAAAATTAGGGGCATGGCAAAAAACCAAGAATGGGCAAACACTATTGATCTATCATGACACCCATCAGTGGGTCACTGTATTAGACACCATGAGAAAGACCAAATTAAGTGAAAGCTTGCAGTCCCTGACCTTAAGCAACCAATAATGTAATGAAAAAGATTTAGAGTCACTCTATTGCTGGATATTGGTCTGTCTAGGATTTTAGTGATAATAATAAATTTCTTAGATTATGTCCACTTAGGTCCAAGTTAAACTAAATTGAAAGGCCCCACCAAGATTGCAAACCATAAATGGCTATATTATTGTGTGCTATTATTCTTATACCTCTATGGAAGTCATCTTTATGAAACTATTTTTGGTATATAGTCCCCAGAATTAAAGTATGGATGACCTCTAGTGGTTTCCATGATATGAGTAAGAAAAAAACTACTTTCTGTCATGCCAGCAAGAAACATACTTCAGTTTCAGTAGAATACAATCAAAAGGATTTTTTTTTAATTAGGCAGGAATGAAATGTGAATGTACACAAACAGAATTTTACCTGTAAGGTGGCTTATCTACATAGGTCAAAGGTAAGTGGAGACAACCAAGTGATATAATTCAGGACCCAGAATGGATTATTTCATTCAGATAACTAAATTTGGTCACCCATGTTTTATCAGATTAGCCAAAAGACTGCCAAATAATACTTCTCTTACATGAACCTAAAAGTTCACATAAAATGATGAAAGTTTTTTTATAATATTTTATTTTCCCCCAATCACATGTTAAAACAATTTTAAATATTTTTTAAGTTTTGAGTTCCAAACTCTATTCCTCCCTTCTCCCTGAGATAGCAAGCAATCAAATATAGGTTATACATGTGAAAAATGATGAAAGTTTTTAAGGAAAATTTTACTGAGCTCTTTTTAATTTCTGAATGAATAGGCCCACTACAACTTTTTTGTTAGCCATTGTCAACTGGGCCCTTATTACTACTAGGCAATCCTTTTTTTATTCCCTAATTGATTCTCTATTGTATTTTCCATAGCAAGTGTTCTAATTTTTTGATCTCTCTTGAAATATCCAATACCAAAGTAGATCCCATAGAAGTTAAAATGTAGGGGGAGGTGGAGCAGCTAGGAGGCTCAGTGGATAAAGCCCTGGAGTCAGGAGGACCTGAGTTCAAATTCGACCTCAGACACATAATAAATACTAGCTGTGTAACTCTGGGCAAGTCACTTAACACCAATTGCCTCACAAAAAAAAAAAAATAATAATTAAAAAGAATAAAATAAAATGTAAGGGGAAAAAAATCATAGAATATCTGCAAGTGGACCTCAGTAACTACCTAGTCCATAAAGGGCAGCTAGAGTTGGGGGGGGAGGGTATTTAAGGAGAGGTAAGGATGGAGGAGGCAGGGAGCATTGCATGTATGTGGGCAGCATGGTTTGGAAATGGTTGGAAACTGATACAGTTGCCTAGTTCCAGGCAAGATAAGGGGGGGAAGGGAGAACCCAGTGTCCCAGGGACAGAGTCCAAATTAAGCTTGGGATTATCCAAAGAATATAAAGAAATAAGGGGAGTGAAGGAGAGGATGATCTATACCCTCTCTACAGCAGTGTAAATAAAGACAATGATAACAGCAACAAAAGCCAGATAAATATATAGAAAGAAGTTTAGAAGTTGTATTTCTGCATCGTAGGAGGATTTCGATAGCATTTTGTTAAAGTTAATGTAAGTTTTTTGTTTTTCTTTTCATACAACCTTTTTTTAAAAAAAAAAAAAGTCCTTTGAATACTTGAACTTATTAATGGAAGTTAAAGTAAAACTTATTATTACTAAAATAAGGCACAACAGCCTCCAAAATTAGCAAATAAAACTACACCCATTTAGGTGTATATTGTAAAATATCCCTCTTGTAACATTTTGTTTCTAGAACAAGTTACCACAAAGTTCACTCTGTGTGATTATAATTTTTTTCCTTTTATTTATTTATTTTTAATTTTATTAATTTATTTTGATTTATTAACAATCACTTCCATATGCTTTTGAGTTGAAAATTTTTCTCCCCCTTCCTCCCCCCCCCCCCCTCCCCAAGACTGCGTACAATCTGATATAGGCTTTACATACCCACGATACATATTTTCACATTAGTGAAGTTGTAAGTAAAAATTAAAACCAATAGGAGGAACCATCAGAAAGATGAAACAAAACTCAACAGGAGGTAAAAATAAGTGATAGCGATTCGACTTCCATAGTTCTTTCTTTGGATGTGGACAGCATTTTCCATCCCGAGGCCTCTGGAGATGTCTTAGATCCTCATAATGCTGAGAAGGGTTCAGTTTAACAATCTTAGTCATTGCATAACGTGGCTGTTATGTGTACAAAGTCCTCTTGGTTCTGCTCACTTCACTCAGCACGTGTGATCTTTATTTACCACCCATTTAAACACTATCTGATTTCATGCCCTGTATTTACAAGGTGACAGCTGTGCATGATGCAGCATGGGAAAGTAGAAAGAGGACTGGGCTGGGAGTCAGGAGAGCTGAGTTCTAGTCTCTTCTATGCAACTAACTCACTCTGTGACCTAAGACAAGTCACAACCTCTCTGGGCCTCAGTCTCCTCATTTGAAACTAGGGGGTTTGAGCTGTATCTCACCACTGGCCAGATGGCTCCGCAGGAGAAAGTGAGGCTGGTGACTTTGCACAGGTCTCCTTCACTTAAATCCAATTCACTTGCTTGTCATGCCATCCCCTCCCTGATGTCATAGTCCTCTTTAAGAACAAAGGACAGGGGCAGCTAGGTGGAGCAGTGGATAGAGCACTGGCCCTGAATTCAGGAGGAGCTGAGTTCAAATCTGACCTCAGACATATAACACTTACTAGCTGTGTGACCCTGGGCAAGTCACTTAACCCCATTGCCTAGCCAAAAAAAAAAGAGAGAGAGAGAGAACGAAGGACAAGCAGCAACCAAAGGGTTTGAATAAAATGACCTCTAAGGTCTATTTTTTTTTAATCAGTGCTTATATTTTGCTGATTAAAATAATTTGCTTTCAGGACTGACAATAGGGGCTGGCTGCAGCCTGGACCAGGTGAAGCAGATCCTGACCGATGAAGTCTCCAAGCTTCCAGAGGAAAAAACACGGACATATCAGGCTCTCTTGAAGCACTTGAAAAGTTTGGCTGGACAACAGATTAGGAACATGGCTGTAGGTTCCACACAAAAAAGAGGGTTGTATATAAAACTGTGAAATTCCTATCATACTATTTGCTTAAATTTTTCTTTTCTTTTCTTTTGGCTAAGCAATGGGGTTAAGTGACTTGCCCAGGGTCACACAGCTAGCAAGTGTTATGTGTCTGAGGCCAGATTTGAACACAGATCCTCCTGAATCCAGGGCTGGTGCTCTATTCACTGCGCCACCTAGCTGCCCCATGCTTGCTTAAATTTTTAAAAGTACATAATAATTCCACACACACTATTTTCTTTTTTTCTCCTTATCAATAATTTTATTTTAGTTTAGTTTTTCCTCTACCATTTTTTATTAGTTTATTTTGATTTATCAACAATCACTTCCATAAGCTTTTGAGTTTAAAATTTTTCTCCTCCTCCCTCCCCTCCCCAAAACGACCACAATCTGATATAGCAAACATTACTTTCAAAACTATCCCACTTGTCTATGCTTCCTTCTAAACTTTCTTCTGTTCCCTTCTGTGCATTTTTAAACAATAACTATCTTTTTCCCCCATCACTATTGTTAACCTCCCCTCTCCCCACCCCCCACCCTGCCCCCAAGAAGCCAAGAAGAAAAAAATCGTTGTAATAAATAAACATAGTCAAGTAAAACAAAGGACTGGTCATTCTTGGTAGGCAATGTGCAATAACGTAATAGATCTTTGTGTGTACAAAGCTAATTGGACAGGCGTCTATGCTGCTCAGTTCCCAGCCTTTGTGCACTGAGGCCAGTGATGGTATGTACAGAGACTGCACTATATTCTCACCCTTTAAAGGGACCCTCTATATTCAAACCAGGCAGTAGGAAGGGGACTAACACTGCCCCTGCTTCCCGCCTATGCTAAGCAAAAGGCTCAGTTGCTCTAAGAACCATAGCATTTCAGAGATAGAAAGGACTTTAGTCCTTTCTGTGGCCCTCTAGGTCCTCGGGTATGGCCTTTTGACTGAATTCACAAATCCTTTTATTAAGGGGATTTGTTCTATGAAGTTTGAATTCATTCAAAGGGCCACACTAGAGGACCTAGAAGGCCACATGTGGCCTTGGGGTCACAGGTTCCCCACTCCTGGGTTCAGACCATTTTACAAGATGAGGAAATGGGACCAAGGAGGAGTCTTAGACTTAAGACTCTTAGATCCAGTTCTCTTTTCACCACATTGGACTCTTGCTGAACTTTTGTAAACAAAAGAGAACCAACCTTTAAGCTACAACTCCAATAAACAATTATTAAGCCCTTGTGAACACGCATGTATGTTTGTGTGGGTGTGTACATAAAAATATGATCAGATAAAGGGACTGAGACTGAAAAAATAATTTCCGTTGTATTAGTCCTTAGGTGGACACGTCATGAGCCGACATGGCTATTCAGATCTGAATCCAATTCTGGCTGCAGGAAATGCTACTCTCAATCTAGTCTCCAAAGGTAAGATATAACAAAACCGAGTAAAGCAGTGTTCCCAATTTAAGAGAGGAAGAGTATGAGGACGAAGAAGAGGAAGAAAAAGTGCTATAAGCCACAAAGTCTGGTTCTAATTCTCTCCTCCATACAAGGCAAGAGTAACATGCAACAGAAAGCTTTCAAGCCATTGTGGGAGTGAATGAATAGCTTTGTCCAGCACCCTCAAGATGCACTTAGCCTGTACTCCCTAGTGAGCTGAACCCAAGGGTGGTTAGCAAAGGGCAGGGTAAAGAAGAAATAAGAGGGTATGCACTCCTCCCACCTCTTAGTCTTCCTACAAACAGGAGAAGAATAGGTAGACAGATAGACAGACAGACAGACAGGCAGATGATAGATAGATAGATAGACAGACAGACAGACAGATGATAGATAAATAGATAGTCAGACAGATGATAGATAGACAGACAGACAGACAGATGATAGATAGACAGACAGACAGATGATAGATAGATAGACAGACAGACAGATGATAGATAGATAGACAGACAGACAGACAGATGATAGATAGATAGATAGACAGACAGATAGACAGACAGACAGATGATAGATAGACAGATAGATAGATAGACAGACAGACAGATGATAGATAGATAGATAGATAGATAGATGATAGATAGATAGACAGACAGACAGATAGACAGCTAATTACTAAACAACACAAAGATTACAATCTAGATTGTGGATAAGCCACATGCATATGGGTCTTTCCTTGTCCTTTGGACCACATACAATTTTGATTCCTCTAAGATTGTGGTCTAATACACAGGAAACTATAACATAAAAATAATATAGTATACGCTAAGTGCTTCAGAGAGATTTAAATTCAGCACTCTATGAATGAAGTTCATGAGAAATAATCATTACTGATTGGCGGTGTCAAGGAAGCTTTCACTAAGTTACTGTTCCCTTTTACAGTTGACATGTACACGTTCTTTCAACTTGCTACTCTTGAAAAAAATATTTCTTTCTTCCCCAGAAGGAAGACGTCAGATTCCTTTAAATGAGCATTTTCTTGCTGGACTGCCAAATGCGGACCTGAAACCTGAGGAAATTTTGGAGTCTGTGCACATACCTCACTCTGAAAGGTAAGACATAGGGGGCCATTTTTGATGGAGTTTTCTTAAAAAACTTTAATGTCAACTTTTTTAAAAAAAACAAATTAGAAGGAAGAACAACCTTGTAATAAAATCACACGGTATCGTGTGTCATATCCTTCCAGTCATTGCCCCAGTGTAAAATGGTCACAGTCGTGAGAGCAAGCCCCAGGCTTGCTTTGGGAGCTGTAGATCCGGAAAAATCCACCCACACTCCTTTGCATCATTCCTCTTATGATCAAGGGCTACATTTCTGAGACAGTGATTAAAAGGATAATATCTGGTTATAGAATAAGGTTTCCCAGTTAAAACTGGTCCATGTGGAGAACAAATATGCTGTTTTAGCCTTATTAATGGCATGTTCTGACCAACCACAGTAAATAGCCCAGATAGATATGCACAGGCGAGCTCACTATGTTTTCTAGAATCTTAAGCTGGGATCTTAGAATCATAGACTTAGAACTAGTTGACCTTAGAGGCCATCTAGTCCAACCCCTTCATTTTATAGATGAGGAAAGACCCTAGTATGTGCCATCTACACCTGACAGCTTTTGTGAAGATCAAATGAATTAACATAAGTGAGGTGCTTTGTAAATGTTAAAGGTTTATATAAATGTTAGCTATTATTATTATTATTATTATTATTATTATTATTATTATTATTCACTTAATAGTGGCCCAGAGATTCTTAGGACTAAAAAGTCTATACTGTACTTCTTTGCTTTGACCCATCTAAAAATCTCAACTGATTTTGTTTCCACAGTGGGAATTTGTGGTAGCATTCAGACAGGCCCAGTGTCAGCAAAACGCCTTGCCTGATGTTAACTGTGGAATGAGAGTCCTTTTCAAAGAATGCACAGACACCATCGCAGGCCTTGGCCTCTTCTACGGAGGCATAAGATCCACTACCGTCAGTGCACATAGATCCTGCCAGCAGCTCCTAGGAAGGTACCGGTGTGTGTGTGTGTGTGTGTGTGTGTGTGTGCATGTGTGTGCACGCACGCGCGCGCGTGTGTGTGTGTGTCTGTGTGTGTGTGTCCTCAACGTGAAAAGGAACAGCTTCAGTAATAACAAACCACATAAACAGTCACAGGTTGATAGATACAGACCTAGAAGAGACCTTAGAATTCATTTAGTCCAACCCCTACTTTTTTTTTTTATAAATGACACCCAGAAAGTTAAGTGACTTGCCTAAGGTCACATAGGTAGTAAGTGGCAGGTCTGAGATTTGAACCCAGTGCCTCTGACTCTAGACCTAGACCCCCTCTTTCCACTGTGCCATGTTCCTTCCATCAACAAGTTGTCATCTTATGACTATAACGTAGGATGAACTCATCTTTCTACTACATTTTAACAATTTATTAAATACGAAATCTCCATAAAAATTCTCTACTAATAGTCAACGTTTTGATTCTATTCAACAGTTTTATTTAGCACCAACTATATATATATATATATATATATATATATATATATATATTATATATATTTTAGTCAATTGGGGTTAAGTGACTTGCCCAGGGTCACACAGCTAGTAAGTGACAAGTGTTTGGTCTGAGGTCACATTTGAACTCAAGTCCTTCTCATTGCAGGGCCAGTGCTCTATCCACTGTGCCACCTAGCTTCCCCGAGCACCAACTATATATCAGGAGTGGCAGCTAGGTGGCGCAGTGAATAAAGAGCCAGGCCTGTAGTCAGGAAAACCTGAGTTCAAATCTAATCTCAAACACTTACTAGGTCTCAGACCTGGACAAGTCACTTAATCCTGTTTGCCTCAGTTTCCTCATCTGTAAAATCAGCTGGAGAAGGAATGGCAAACCACTCCAGTATCTTGCCAGGAAAACCCTAAATGGGGTCAAAAAGAAGAAAATGACTGAACAGCAAAATGTATTAGCACTGCAGAGGATAAGAAGACACAGAAAAGATGGATAATAGTGTAGTGGGCAAAGTATGAAACTCGGAGTCAAGGATCAGATCATCCTCCAGTGCTCACTAGTTATTTGACCTGGTCAATGGCAAGTAACTTAACCCTTTCTAAGTCTGAGTTTCACCATCTGTAAAATGGAAATAATACCTAACTACTTAATTGGGAGGTGTGGAAGGAGACTTCCTAGTACAGGGAAAGAGTATTGAATTTAAAGTCTTGGGTTCAAATCCTGACTCTACCACTTACTACCTTAGGCAAGTCATTTCATCTCTCTAGGCCTCAGTTTCCTCAACTGTACAATAAAATATCTTGCTAATATTAAAGCTCTATTTGTCAATAGAGGACAAAACACACACATATAACCGTGATATAAGGGGAACACAAAGCGCTATGGGGAAAAGGAGGAGGGAAATATTATTTCCCCCTCCCCCATCCTTGTCACTTGGGCACACACATGTGCATGCACACACACAGACACACACACACACACACACACACAATTGAGGAGAATAAAGGAAGCCTTCTGGGAAGTTGTTTCAACAGATTGAGATGAGAGGAAGGACATTATAAGTAAGAGAAACATTGCAGGTGTGTGAGAAAGTGGGAATGTGTTCAAAGAAGAAAAAGGTCTAATTTGGCTGGAACAAAGGCTACCCCAGGGCCAGACCATGACAGGTCTTGAATGCTAAGCTAAAGACCTAGGACTATTAGTAAAGTACTGGAAAAATCGAAAGAAAAATATGTAAAATGGATATATATCCAGTAGAGCTTCATTATCTGAGGATTCTGTATTTGTGAATTCACCTACTCTCTAAAATTTATTTGTAACCCCCAAATCAGAACTCATGGTACTTTCAGGGTCATTCATGAACATGTGCAGAGTAACAAAAAATCTGAGTTGTCAGCCCCACGTTCCCAGCTAAGGTTGTACAAGGCAATGTTCTGCTGCTTTCTTCAGCTCCTTACTGCAAACAAGTGATCTTTTAAGGGTGTGTTTATTGCCGTGGGTTTGTTTTTTGTTTTGGGGGTTTGGGGGTTTTTTTTGCATTTTTGTGCTATTTGTTGGTGCTTTCGCTGTTTAAAAATGGCCCCCCAAGCATAGTGCTGAAGTGCTATTTGGTATTCCTAAGTCAAGGCATCTGTGATGTATCTTACAAAGACAATACATGTGTCAGAGAAGCTTCATTCAGACATGAGTTCCAGTGCTGTTGGCCATGAGTTCAATGGTAATGAATCAGCAATAGGGTTATTGTTGTTCAGTCAAGTATAACTCTTCATGACCCTGGGGACCATATTGTCCATGGGGTTTTCTTGGAAAAAATGCTGGAGTGGTTTGCCATTTCCTTCTCCAGTAGATTAAGGCAAACAGGGTCACACAGCTGGTAAATAATCTGAGGCCAGATTTGAACTAAGGTCTTCCTGATTCCAGACCCAGCACTTTATCCACTTTATCACTACCCCATAATCATGTACATTCAGAAAAAAAGAAGAGGAAATTTGCCTATCTGTATGTAAGACCACTCTGGAAAGTGCTAAAGTAAATGTTATGACCAGAGGCTTGCCAGAACCTAATCTGTATATCCCCAGGAGCAATGGGTCAATATTTGCTAATTCAGTGTTTGGAAAGTAACTACCTCAGATGAGAAGAATCAACTGTATTTACTGCAGTTCTGATGAAGAGGTTATATCATTATTCTATAATTAAACATTATATACTATGTTAATATAATATATTCCTAGTTGCTTTAGACCAAATGTGATCCAATACTGATTTATTGGGCAAATCAACAAATTTCCAGTCCAACTGCTGGGAGTAGGGCAAGGTGGGATAGGCTAGAACATCAATATTGTGGGCCCCTATCCCCTCTTCCCCCCCATAACATACACATTACGTTGGATTCTTTCAATGCTTCTTGCAACCAAAAATTAACTCCCATCTCAAATTTAGACTGAGTTCCCTCTAGGCAAACACAATGTCCAACTCTGGATTCTTGCAGTGTGCATAGAGAAAGGCAACCTTGGATCAAGTCCTGCCTCTGACACATACTAGTTATGTCAACCTGGGCAAGTCACTTAACCTCTTAGTTCTCTAGGTAACTTTCTAAAACTATAAATTGAAGAGAAGGTACTGGCCTGTACTGGTAGAGGGAGTTTCCTCATCAAGGAATTTCCTATGCTGATGAAGTCATAGACCCAATCTCTATCCCTGTCTTTATTCAATACCATCAACCCTAATCATATATTCATGTATCTCTTAATTGGTCAGAGAAATAGAAGAGGGCTGGTGGACTAAATAAATATTCTTTTTTTTAAGGTTCAAACAAAATTGTGATTCTAAATTATTTTTTAAAAACTTAAAAAATGTATCTTTTTAAAAAAGTATACTTTCACTACCTGGTATTTTACAACACATGTTTCATTTGAAACCACCGCTTAGTTTATTCTTTTTTTCCCCCTACCAGGGACTGGAATACATTGATATTGGATGAAGCTTTCAGGCTGATCCTGGATGAAATTTCTCCCCCAGCCTCAGCTCCAGGGGGAATGGTGGAATTTAAAAGAACCCTCATTGTCAGTTTCTTCTTTAAGTTCTACCTGGAAGTATTACAAGGACTAAAGAAAATCATAAAGATGACCTCTATCCCAGTGAGTGCATTGGCTTGTTATTGTACTTTGCACACATATACTTCCAGGCTTTCTTACCATTACCTTCCAAGCTGTGTTAAGTATGACTTGAGCTGTTACTTCTTGTCAGGAGCCAGGCAGTCTTCCTTTAGAAAGACTGTCCACACTATGCTAGTTGGAATTCAGAATATTAATGTCTTCTTACTTTTTTTTTTCTTTCTTTCTTCCTTCCTTCCAATTAGCTAATTTTATAAACTCAATGTTTAGTGGGAGAAGGCTAACTTCCTCCATTTGCTAGGAAGGCCAGGAGAACTTGATCCTGGGGAAATGTAATATAGGCAGAAAAGACAGAGAGATAAAAGGAAGAATTGCAGAAGGGAAGCTTGTATGTTGGGAGGCAACATAGTATAGTGGAAAGAATGCTGAATTTGGAATTAGCTTCCTACACTGGGACTTCCTGGACCCTGGGCCCTCTACACCATTGAGTTAGTGCGTCCATTTAAAACTAGCCATATATGATAAGCCAGCCTAGGCTTTGCATAAATATGAGAAGGCAGCAGACTTTCTTTGCAATTTTGCCAAATGCCTTTTGTGTTCATTTAGCTTGGGGTGGAGCCATAGGGCATTAGACTGTCATGACCTTTCCAACAGAAAAGGTAATATTGATTTGAGTATTGTTCCCAGAACAAGAAGTGGAAAATCATGGGGGAGCAGGAAAGGTGTGCACACATGCACAGCATTGAAATAGATAGCAAGATGCTGTGCTGTCCTAGAAAATGGTTTAATGGGAACCAAAGCATGTGCTGAAGCCAGCTAAATATGGGCTCACTCACCCCAATCACAATGGCTTAGGCCCAAGGAGGAGTCCCAAGGCTAAGTGGATGAATTTCCAGTGAGGATAGGGGAAGGAGGGAGAGGTATGGAGGTCAGATCCATAAGCCTGTTATTCCAGGTATTTGAGAACATCAGGGCAGAATGAAAGTTGCCTGTGCTAGGTATTGAGTAGATTCCTTCCCCTTTTTTCTCTAATAGACATTTAGTACTTCCTATGCCCTTGATACATTATTAAATTAACAGAGACACAATATGGTACATAGCTTGACGTGCATAATTAATATCTTTTTTTTTAATCATCTTTCAGAATAGCCATCGATATCCTGACATTTCAGAGAAGTTCCTAAGTGCTCTGGAAGAGTTTCCTGTCACAATATCCAGAGGAGTCCAAGAATTCCAAGTTAGTGGTTTAGTCAATCAACTGGTTGGTCAATGAGCACAGGTTAAGCACCTTTTATGTGCCAGGCATTGTGCCAGGTGCAAGAAATGCAAAGAAAGGCAAAGGACAATCTTTGTTCTCAAGGCCGTTTTATCTGACATGGAAAACAACATCCAAATAACTATGTACAAATGAGATATATAAAGAGAAGTTAGACTAATCAACAAGAGGAAAGCCACTAATATTAAGGGGGATCGGGAAAGGCTTTTTAAAGAAAGTAGGATTTTAGCTGGGACTTAAAGGAAGTCAGGCAGGTCAGGAGATAGGTGAGTAGGTAAGAATTCCTAGCGTGGGAGACATGAAAATACTTGGAGTCAGGAGATGACATATCTGGTTCAAGGAACAGCAAAGCAGCCAGCGTCACTGGATCACAGAGTACATGTAGAGGGAGGAGAGAAGCAATGTATACAAAGACTAGGAAGGTTGGAGGGTCCTAGGTTATGAAAGGCTTTGAACTCTAAACAGAGAATTTTATATTTGATCCTGGAGATGCTAGGGAACCACTGGAATTTAAAGAGAAGAGAAGTGATGTGGTCAGACTCATGCTTTAGAAAGATCACTTTGGCAGATAAGTGAAAGATGGATTAAATTGGGAAGAGATTTGAGTTGAGGAGACCAACCAGAAGGTTATCCAGGACTGAGGTAAAAAAGGGCTAGTCTAGGGTTGTAGCAGTATCAGAGGAGAGAAGGAGGCAGATGCTAGAGATGCTAAAAAAGGTAGAATTTCTAAGACTTTAAAACAAATTAGAAAAAGGGGGGTGAGAGTAAGAGGCCAAGGAGACACCTAAATTTCAAGCCTGAGTGACTGGGAGGATGGTGGTACCCTTGATAAGAAAATCGGGGAATAGTTTCCGAAGAAAGATGTGTTCAGTTCGAGACGTGTCTAAAGATGTTTATAAGACATTAAGTTTAAGAAGACCAATAGGCAGTTGGAAATGAGAGTCTGAGGGTTAAGGAGGAAGTGAGGACTGGATAAGCAGATCTGAAAATCATCTGAAAAGATAAAAATTGAATCCATAGGACTGATGAGATCACCAAGAAAAATAGAAGAAGAAGAAGAGAGCCCAGGACAGAGCCCTTTAGGATACTCACAGTTAGTGAGTGTGATGGAGGATGATCCAGAAAAAACAAAAACTGAGGAATGATCAGACAGGTAGGAAGAGAACCAGGAGAAGAGTAGTGTCACAAAAACCTAGAGAGAAGAGAATATTAAGGAAAAGAGGGTGATCAACAGTATCAAGGTTAGAGAAAAATGCATTTATTCCTTTTTAAAATTATCTTATTAATAATTAAGTATTAATTTTCTTTTATTAATTAATGATTTCCTTTTGTTAAGACATTAAAAAAACATTTCCATATCATAGTAGAATAGAAAAAAAAAAGATCGCATACAAAACTGCGAATCTATTATATACAACTTGCTATTCCTTTTAAATATATAATAAAATTAATATGCAATTTTCTTTATTAAAATTTTTTTCTCCCCCTCCCCTGCCATAGAGATGGCTACCACAAATGTGTGTGTATACATTCTATACACACTTCTATTTATCAGTTCTTTGTCTGGATGCAGATAGCATTTTCCTCCATAGGTCCTTTGTAGTTAATTTGGGTATTTATAATAGTCAAAATTACTTTGTTGCTCAAAGTTGTTCTTAAAACAATATTGCTGTTACTATATACAACATTGTCTTGGTTCTGCTCATTTCACTCTTCATTATCTCATGCATGTCTTTCCATGTTTTTTCTAAGATCATCGAGCTCATCATTTCTTATAACACAGTAGTATTCCATCACGATCATATACCATAACCTGTTCAGCCATTCCCCAATTGATGGACATCCCTGCAATTTCCAGTTTTTGCCACCACAAAGAGAGCTGCTATAAATATTTTAGAACATACAGGCTCTTTTCCTTTTTTCTTAATCATCTTTGGAAACAGATCTAGCAGTGCTATTGCTGGGTCAAAGGATATAGGCAGTTTAATCACTGTTTGGGCATAATTCCAGATTGCTCTCCAAAATGGTTGGATTAGTTCACAGTTCCACCAATAGTGAATTAGTGTTCCAATTTTTCCACATCACCTCCAACATGTCTTGCTTCCCCCTTCAATCATTTTAGCCAATCTGATAGGTGTAAAATGATATCTCAAGGTTGTTTTAATTTGAATTTCACTGATCAATAATGATTTAGAGCATTTTTTCACATGACTATAAATTGTTTTGATTTCTTCCTTGGAAAACTGCCTGTTCATATCCTTTGACCATTTATTATTTATTCCTTGGAGGGCCACTTGCTTTTCATTTTTAAAATTTTAACTCTATAGCTCTTACTGGTTTATGGCTTTTTGAAGAAGGTCATTTTTTTTTTAAGACTAAGATGCAAAAGTTTAAGATCAAGACTGTCCAGAATATGCTGCTCTGTGTCTGAACAGCTTGATATTAGGATCTCCTGAGATCAACTTGTCCTGTCAAAAAATGTCTTCCTTACTCAGCTCCATGAAATGTGAATAAGACATTGATTTTATTGGCTTAATCTCTCAGAGCCTGTTTCCTCCTCTGTAAAATGGGAAATACTACCACTTAGTCATTTATACCTAGTATAAATGTATTTATCAGATTCTTTCCTTCAAGCAGATTTTGATAGGAGGCAGAAAGGGGGAAGAATGTATGAAGTGGGGAGGAAGCAAGTAGATAATACTGAAAGGGGGAAAAGCACAGAAAGGGGAAGGTAGGGGCACTAAAGTCCAGCTTCCTCTATTTCATCTTGATGGTCTTATCTAAGCTATCTGTGAAATAGCAGAAGGGCATTGAAACTCTAGATTTAAATTTTCGTTGTGTTGATTATAATTACATTAAGACATTGTAGCACATGCTCCAAGGCTCATACTATAGAATCATGTGAAAATTCCTTATTAGTGTTTCACCTGTGCTTATATATTGGCTCATCCTATTTCTGACAGTTAACCTGATAAAAGGGCAAATCTGTCACCTCCTCCTCTTGACCTCACTAGCTTCCATTAAGACTTAATCTAACCCCCCCCCTCCTTGTGCAAGAGGCCCTTTCTGGTCCCCACCACTACCTGAGCCTTCCCTTCTACCTTCTTTTACTCTGTATCTTGTATTGTTCACATGTTGTCTCCCCCATTAAAATGTAAGATTCTTGAGGGAATTGACTGTTTTTGTCCTTTATTGTGTACCCAGTGCTCAGCACAATGCCCAGCACATGGTAAGTGCTAAATAAATGCTTGTTTATCCATTGGTTGTCTTCTTTTGCTGTCATAGTATTCTTTTTTCTTTCTTTCAGTTCTTTATCACACAAAGTGCTACTATAAATATTTGTGTATTGCATACAACCTTTGCCCTGTTTTTGACTTCCTCGGGTTACGTACCTATTGTTGGTATGATTGGGTCAGAGGATATGTCCATTTTAGTGACTTTTCTAGTATAAATCTAAATTATTTTCAGAACAAATGGATGAATTCATAACTCCACCGACATTATATGTTCCCATACTCCCCTTACCATTTACATTTTTTAAAAATTTTTGTTAGCCTCAAAAACTTTGTAGCTTGGTAGTAACTAACAGAACTTTTTTCCCCCATGTGAAAGTATTTTATTTTTTCCAATTACATGGAAAGATAGTTTTCAACATTCACTTTTATAAAATTTTGAGTTCTAAATTTTTTCTCCCTCCCCTCCTCTCCTCCCCTCTCCCCAAGACGGCAAGCAATCTGATATAGGTTATACAGGTATAATCACATTAAACATATTTCCACATTAATCATGTTGTGAAAGAAGAATCAGAACAAAAGGGGGGGAAAAAGTGAAAATATTATGCTTCAACTTGCATTCAGACTCCACAGTTCTTTCTCTGGATGTGGATAGCATTTTCCATCTTGAGTCTTTTGGAATTGTCTTAGATCATTGCATTGCTGAGAAGAGCTAAGTTTCTCATAGTTGATCATTGCACAATGTGCTGTTACTGTGTACTATGTTCTCTGGTTCTGCTCACTTCACTCAGCATCAGTTCATGTGAGTCTTTCCAAGTTCTTCTGAAATCATTTCTTATATTTCATTACATTCATATATCACAACTTGTTCAGCCATTCCCTAATTGATGGGTATCCCCTCCATTTCCAATTCTTGGCCACCACAAAAAGAACTGCTATAAATATTTTTGTACATGCGTGTCCTTTTCCCTTTTTCATTTTCTCTTTGGAATACATACTTAGTAGTGGTATTGCTGGATCAAAGGGTATGCATAGTTTTATAGAACAGTTCCAAATTGCTCTCCCGAATGGTTGGATCAGTTCACAGCTCCACCAACAACGAATTAGTATTCTGATTTTCCCACATCTTCTCCAACATTTATCATTTTCCTTTTCTGTCATGTTAGCCAATCTGATAGGTGTGATGTGGTTGTTTTCATTTGCATTTTTCTAATCAATAGTGATTTAGAGCATTTTTTTCATATGACTATAGATAGCTTTAATTTCTTCATCAGAAAACTGCCTGTTTATATCCTTTGACCATTTGTCAATTGAGGAATGACTGGTATTCTTATCAATTTGACTCAGTTCTCTATATATTTTAGAAATAAGGTATTTATCAGAAACACCGGCTGTAAAAATTGTTTCTGATTTCTTTCTAATCTTGGCTGCATTGGCTTTGTGCAAAAACTTTTTAGTTTAATGTCATCAAAATTATCCATTTTGCATTTCATAATGTTCTCTATCTCGTTTGGTCACAATTTCTTCCGTCTCCATAATCTGACAGGTAAACTTATTCCTTGCTGTCCTAATTTGCTTATATGTTTTTTGCCTTTTATGTCTAAATCGTGTACCCATTTTGACCTTATCTTGGTACACAGTATGAGATGTTGGTCTGTGCTTAGTTTCTGCCATATGATTGCTGAGTCACATCATTCTTATCTTCTTTTGCAGAGAGTAGACCCTAACCAACCTCCCCATGATCCAGTTGGACGCCCAATTTTGCACCAGTCTGGTATCAAACATGCCACTGGGGAAGCTACATTTTGTGATGACCTGCCTGTTGTGGATAAAGAACTTTTCCTGGCTTTAGTAACCAGCACCAGGGCTCATGCAAAAATCATGTAAGTGAACTCAAATATTTCTGTAAGCCAATTAAAAATCATACTCAGATACCATGGGCTCACCTCCCAGGAAAGTGTCCACTGTCCCTGTGGTTGCCCAATTGGGTAGAAACTAGAAGCTAAGATTGACAGAACCCAGGAGATGGATAGATGTGAGGAACCTAAGACACAGGATAGAAGACAAACCTCTATTAGCCCCTAAACTACAAGAACCACATAAGGGATGAAAAAGGGGCTTCCAAGAATGAAAGTAATGCAGTAAGAGAGATTACCAAAGTACATCTCCTTTCTTTTCTCCACCTTCATCAAATTAAAATCCCTGTCTACTTGGGACAGCCGAGAACTAGAGTCACAACTAAAAGAACCACTTTGGACTTCAGTAGCCTCTAGGACTGCCAACATTTCCAATATTTTCTTTCCAAGATCCATTGATGCATCTGAGGCCCTTGGACTGCCAGGTGTGGTTGATGTAATTACAGCCGAGGACATTCCAGGTACCAATGGCACTGATGATGACAAACTGCTTGCTGTAGATGAGGTACTGAACATCTTCATGGGTGGCTGCCTCCTATCTAAATTCTCTCAAGCACCTGTGCACACCTATATTGCAAAATTCCAACTCTGGGTCAGAAAGAGTTGGAGTCGCCATCCTTTCCAGCCCCATCTTTTCCCCTCCATTTCTCTGCTCAGAGTTCCTCTCTTAGAATCAAGGAGCAAAGCTTGGCCATTTCCTTTACAATTTTCTCATCTAAAGATCATGTAATTTTACATATTCTCTTTATCTATGTTTGTCTTATCCCCCTCCTAAACTGTAGTCAGGGATCAAGTCTCATCTAAACTATGTATCTCCCTCTGAGCCTAGGCCCAGTACGCCCTGAATAAAATGTTTGTTCAGACAGGAAATGGAAGATTCTAGCTTTGGTTCATTAACCAACTGTGGAGCACCTAACCATAGTGGTGCAGGGATACTTAATCTGAAGTCAGAAGATCTGTATTCAAATCCTGTCTCCATTACTTGTCCTTACCTGTGAGACTGGGCAAATCCCTTAATTTCACTGAGCCTCAGTTTCCTCATATGCTAAATGAAAGATTGGATTAGATAAGATCACTTGCACCCTTTGATCTTATGATTCCATGATTTTGTTTCATATTTCCCTGATTAGGCCATTAGGTAGCAAAGTGGATAGAATGCTATGCTTGGAGTCAGGAAGACTTGGAGTTTGAATCCTACCTCAGACACTTACTGCCTGTATCCCTGGGCAAGTCACTTAACCTCTGTCAGTTTCAATTTCCTCATCTGTAAAATGGAAATAATAATAACATCTACTTCATGTGGTAGTTGTGGAGGTCAAATGAAATAACACACATCCAGGGCTTTATAGAGCTTAAAGTGCTATATAAATGCGGGCTATTTATTATGATTTGTAAAATAGAGATAATAATACCTGCTTTCTTAACATAAGGTATGAGGGAGGAAGCAGGTTGGAAAAAAACATAGTACTATATATATAAAAGGTACTATTTTCAGTGGAGACAATATGTAAGTCAGAATTGTAGACAGCAGAAGACAGAAAAAGTTTGAGACTTCCCTCTTATTTAGACTCCCCACATCCTGTCAGGGAAACCCAAGAGATTATTTTATGTGAAAGTTGCCCGTTGCTGATCTTTTCCTTTCATCAAATATTTTTTAAATGTACCAGTCATCAATGATGAATCATGCTAACCCCCTACTGACAGAGAGGTGGGTGGACTCGTATTTTTTGGACATGAACATTGTGAGGATTTGTTTTCTTTGACCATGTATATTTGTTGCAAGGTTTTGTTTTCCTTTTCTTTTTTTTAATGGAAGAGGGATATGGGAGAGAGAAAATGGATTATTGTTTATTGAAAAAAATAAAATTTAATTTTAAAAAACTTACCTGGCAAGTGCAGAGAATGTTTTCCTGCTCTGCAAATTATTCCATGTAACAAGGTCAAAAAGAAGGTAGATTGTTTCTGCCAGGCTGTCCCATGCATGGAAACTTATGCTTTCTCTGTGTCCTATGTCTCATGTTAGGCACTAAAGTGATTTCTAGGACTATACAAGATTCTCTAAACTTTCCCCTAAAAATGTCTTTTGAAAAATATGGTTTTGGGGCAGCACACAGCACTTACCAGCTGTGTGACCCTGGGCAAGTCACTTAACCCCAATTACTCCTCCCCCCAAAAAAAAGAGTAATATTGTTTTACATCCATAGACATACTGAAAGGCTAACAAGTAGTTGTAACATGTTCTTGCCATATGTGTATATGTCTACATAAGAGGTATTCAATTCAAAAAGAAATGGACCCTATAAGGACCCCTGCAGCCATGCATTAACTTAGAAAATTACATATTAATGCTATTTATGTCCTATTGTATTTTGATTTATTTTGTTAAATATATCCCAGTTACATTTTAATTTGGTTCTACAGTGTCCTTGGTACATTTTTGATACCTCTGTTCTACATACACAAGCATGGCGGATGGATTTTTGCAAACATTGCTTAACAATTTATTATTGATTCCTTTGTAAGAAACACTTGAAGCTCTACGAGAGATCGATGCGGGTCACCAATAATATATCCAGGACTTCAAGTGAAAAAAGGCCTTTCCCTAAAGCAAGGGTGGGGAACCTGCAGCTTTGCGGTCACACGTGGCCCTTTGACCGAATCCAAACTTCACCAAACAAATCCCCTTAATAAAAGGATTTGTTCTGTAAAACTTGGACTCAGTCAAAAGGCCGCCCCCAAGGACCTAGAAGGCCGCATGTGGCCTTCGTGCACCCTGCCCTAGAGAGTAAGTAAGCAAGAGTAATCAGAAGCAACCGATTGCTACCTCTGTGCCCTTCAGCAGGGGACCTTACCTTCCTCATCTGCAAAATGATAGGTTGGACTAGATGACCTTTAAGGTAACTTCTAGTTCTTGATCCTGTAAGTCTCTAATTATTTTAGATCATTGTTATTACTTAAACAATCCCATCTAAGGAACCAGAAAGGGTGAGTTCAGCAATTAAAATGAGCCAGTGCTTTCCACCTGGTCATTACGCTGGGTCTTCCTGCAGGTGCTTTGTGTGGGTCATATCACCTGCGCTGTGGTTGCTGAGTCAGAAGTTTATGCAAAGAGGGCAGCAGAGAAAGTGAAGATCATTTATCAGGACCAGGAACCCGTGATTTTCACCACGAAGGTAAATGAGCTTTTCAAGTCTCTTGCCCACAAAGCTGTGCAATTGTTTCACCTTTCCAAGGAATCTTGTACAGTGCTGTTTCCCAGTCAACTTCACTGATCAGCAGCTTTTTTTCCCCTTTTTGATAAAGACACAGTTTTTATAGTAAGGTACGATTATTTCCAAGCTAAATCCCTCAAGGAATGGGGTCTCTCTAGAAGATTCATAGAGCTCACAGGATAACACAGTTAAAATGGATCTTGTATTATAAGTCATCTAGTTTAGTTACAGAATTCCCACTACACCATTCCCCAACAATTCCTCTAGCTGAAAACCCCCAGTCCCTCAGAATTTCTCCTCTCCCAAGGCAACCCACTCCATTCTGGGACACCTATAATTGGGAGGAATTTTGTCCTATCAAGTTGAAAACTATCTTCCTATAACTTTCTCTCACAAGCCTTATTTCTCCCTTCTGGAACAGCACAAAAATATAATCCCCATTGACATAATGACATGACAGCCCTTAAAATTGATAGTATCAAAGGGGCAGCACAGCAGTGCCTAGGAGCTCACAAAGGTACACAGATGCCAGCAGCTGATAAATATGGACCCAGCCTTATTGAAGAGCATCAAAATGTAAGCTTGATGCTGGTGTTAGAGGAAGTATCACGATGGAAGGTAGGCCTGGCTATATTTGAGCATCTATAAGAGGGAAAAGGATATCCTTTCTACCCTTCCTCTTTGTAAAAGCCCCCTGAATCTCTATGAGCTGCAGATGTGGGTCACTAACAATGAACTCAGAGTGTCAAATGAAAAGAGGCCTTCTCTAGGATAAGTCCTTATGGAAGCAATTTATTAGTACCTGAGAGGCCTTCAGCACCTCGATGAGGAATACTTTCCAAATTTGCCAGATGAGGGGTTGGGAGAATAAGAGGGTCTAACAACCCTAATGTGAAGCAGCCCTCTCTCTCTTTGAGGCTTCCTGGGGTCTGGAGAAGGTGGCAAAAGTTCCCAGAAAGATCTGGAGATCCCTAGTTGCTACAGCCATAGTTACTGTTACTCCTGCTTCTATGCTCTACTTACTTGCCATCTGTTATGACCAAGACCCTCTGATGTGGTACTAAGGAAACAGTCTAGTGTCCTGATGTTAGGTCCCCTCTACACTTTTCTTCCAGATTATTTCTGGGGTGCTGTCTTGACTGCTTCAGTAATGCTTTTACCTGATGGAGTCCAGTTCCTATTGGGGATTAGTAAAACTATCTGACCTCTACCTTTCATCCCCAGGAACCCCCACCCCTACCCCTGTTACCTTAGGCAATTCTAATTAGATCGTGAAAACTTAACTAATAAGATAACTAAGGCAAATAAGTAAATGTAGAACAGACACAAAGAAAAATTTAAAAATAATTTTGTAAGGAAGCACAAATCTAGAGGTTGGCATTGTTATTGACAAGGATCATGAGGGGACCCTGGCCCTCATACCAGTTTTCACAACAGATCAGCTGGGCAAAAGCTCATGGGTTTCAACTAGCCTGTAGCCATGCATTAATGAATCCCTCCATGGTGACCTCCTTGAATATTTTGTGTCACTCAGATATATTCTGAGAACAAGGGGCCAGTTTGGAGATGTCAATGTTTGTAAAGAAGAAAGGATTTAAGAGTGATGGGGAAAATGGTGGGATTCCCTTTCTCTCCAGAGAGTGGAGTAGAAACAAACTTGGTACTTTCTAGTTGATACCTGTCTCCCATCATATCTTTACATATTTCATCAAAACATAAGTACTCTGCTTGTTCCAGTGGTTCTAATTCATTCCTGCTCCTTTTAGTCCTTTTCTAAAATGAGCATTTCAGGAAGTTACTGGTGATTTGCTTCAGAAGAAAGTGCTAATGGAAGACAAAGTAAGCTATATTGTATTGTTTGCTTTTTCCTTCATTCAGGATGCGATAAGGCATAATTCATACCTGTGCTCCGAAAAAAAACTAGAACAAGGAAATGTGGAGGAGGCATTTGAAAATGCTGATCAGATTATTGAAGGTAAGCTATTCTGTGTAATGAAAATATATCTTATTTAGTCATTTTAGAACTTATATAGCATAAAGGCAGAGAATACTCTGATCATACGATGCATCTATCTGAGAACTGGTAGACCCTTGGTCTCTGCTTTCAGAAGCAAACAAACAACAACTTAGGGTCTCTGGCCTGGAAATGCAATTGGAAAGAGAATTGAGTTTGAAATCAGAACACTTAGATTCAAAGCCCTGACTGTGCCACTTATAGCCACGTATAACCTCCGGAAGTCACTCACCTTTTCTGAGACTCAGATTTCTCATTTCCTAAAATGAGAGAATTGGACCAGGTGACCTCTAAGGGCCCTTCCAGCCCTAAACCATCATTACCAATAACAAGAATTTATCAATATGCCTTAAAAAAGGGATTTATTAAGAGACGGGATGCACTGGGGATACAAAGAAAGGCAAAAACACTGCCTCGTTCTCTAAGAATTCACATTCTACTAAGGGAGACAACGTGCAGATAAGTATAGTATATATGTACAAGATATATATTCATATTTTTCAGTTATATCTGGCTCTTTGTTTCTTAATCCTAACAATTGTGTTTGCTTTGCTCCACTGGCATATATGCTAAAATCAGAATGAAAGACCAATCTGAACTTAAGGCATCTTATCAAATTCATCTTATTCATCTTCCAATTTCTTTGTAGGAGTGATGTTATTGGACTTATTTCTTGGGAGAAACAAAGAGAAGAGAATTTATGCTGACCTTTTTTTTAGATGGAAGCAAAGTCCAATGGTAAAACCTAGAGTTTAGGGTTCAAAGTACCTGAGCCTGAGGCATTAGAGCCAGGGGTGGGGAACCTGCAGCCTCAAGGCCACATGTGGCCCTCTAGGCCCTCAAGTGCGGCCCTTGGACTGAATCCACAAGTTCACAGAACAAATCCCCTTAATAAAAGGATTTCTTCTGTAAAACTTGGGCTTAGTCAGAAGGACCTGGCAGGCTACATGGGGCCTTGAGGCCTCAGGCTCCCCGCCCCTGCTAATATTAGACAGTAATTATATGAGAGTAAAGTCAGTGAGACACCCACCCCAACGCACACCTCAGAATCCCCACAGTTCATTCCCAGATCCACTTTACAAGGGACATTCATTATCAACTTCTGCTACATCTGTTCTGAGAACCTACAAATAAACAGGAAGTGAATTATCTGTGGAAAAATAATAATAATAATCGATAATAATAAAAAGTTTATAAAAATAAGTCAATAATGAATGTCCCAGGTCCTTTACAAGGAAGTAGTAGCCCCTGCCTGGCCATACCACATACTGCCCACCAAGGATTTCTTATGTTTGGGGATTGAACAGGTGAGATGCATGTTGGAGGACAGGAACATTTTTACATGGAAACACAAAGAGTGCTTGTCGTACCAAAAGCTGAGGACAAAGAGATGGAGATATTTGTATCGACTCAGGATCCTTCCCACGTACAGGTGAGGGACCCAGTATCTTCCCAGTCTCCCTTCACCCTTCCCTTATTTTACCAAGTTGCCATAAGCCTTTCAAATGATGTAAATTTTATCTACAAGAACCCCATTTCAGACTACTGAATATCACCAGAGTAGCAAAGATTAGAGATAAAGATAAAGATCTTCACCTCAATTTTCAAAAGGGGAAGTCTGCTGGTTTACTTTGTTTTTTTGAAAGATGTGTTCATTTGCAATACTGTTACATGAACTCAATCTGATGTAATGTTAAGTTGTGAATCATATTGGTTCCTCTTTTAAAATACTATTACTCATGTTATTTTAAAGCTGTAATATATCTAGTTAAGTATCATATTGTGTTCGTTTTAACTGAAGAGGTGACTTCTTTTGTTGATCATCAATTTTGGGGGACTCATTCTTATCTCCTTCCTTTATGTCTTAAAAGTAGGGTAGGAGAAGACCTCAGCTCTAACAACACCCAAGTCAATTTCCCCTTCTTGAAAAATGTCAGCTTCCCATCCAAAAGTTTGCTCTGGGAAGATGAATGGAATGTCCACAAATGAGCCCCACAATTCCATTTATCATTCATTTAAATGACCGCATGAAAAATATTGTGCTAGACGTATTGTTTAATGTACACAACGAAGTAAAAATAGAATATACACAATGAAAATACAAAATAATTTTGAGGGGCGGCATAAACAACTGGGTGGATCAACCAGAAGTACCCTCAAGGAGAGTGATGCAGTAAATGCACTGTTTTGTTTCTGTTTTACTGATCATTGGCAGTGGATTCATGAAGTCCACGTTGTGTTTCAGAAAATACAGTGTAACATCCCACAGTTACAAAATCACCTATCACTTTTACAGAAAACAGTGTCTTCTACTTTAAACATCCCCATCAACAGGATCACATGCCACGTAAAACGAGTGGGTGGAGGCTTTGGGGGAAAGGTCTCCAAACCAGCTGTGTATGGTGCAATTGCTGCTGTGGCTGCTAACAAGTAAGTGGGGCAAGGGATAAATAAGTTGGAGCTTGAGAAATGCTTTAGGACATGGTGATGAACTGACTATATGTCCTTGGGAAAGTCATGTTACTTCACTTTCTGTCCTTTATTCCACTGGCAATCATAAGACCTACTTCCCAAGTTTGTAGTGTGGACCAGAAGGAAAAAGGCATCATAGAAGGCTCGAGAAAAGCTTAAGTGGCGGGGAGGAGGGGGGATGGAGGGAACACACCCAGGCTCTAGACAGCCTTAAAGTAGAAAGAAGGAAGCTATTTTTTTCTGCTCTTTCCTTCCTCATCTTATACACTCAAGTAAGGGAAAGAGAAGGGAGGAAAAGAGGACCTTTTTTTCTTCCCTGGAGACAGATGTCACTTCAAGACCAAGAAGCCTTCCCAGATTATTTGCCAAGGTCACTCCCTTGCTGTGAATGCTTCCTCATTTATGGGCTGTTTACAGTGGATTATGTTTAAATTGTTTTTCTTCCCTAGGTGTTTCATGAATGTTTTCCACTAGTCAGAATTATCTCGCCTGTTTCTTTTGGTTCTGCACCTCCCCTCATGTGCCCACACACCCACGAACTGATACTCATAAAACAATCACTCCTGAGGTTTCTCTGGTGGGCAAGGGGGTGGGGCAGAGGAGGAGGACATGCATAGAGGCATATAATGTGAGAACGGAAAGCAGCCATCATTTGTTCACCTTCCTCATTTCACACATGAGGAAAACAAAGGCTCAGTGAGGTACAGAAAGGTAGTGGATTGAGTCAGAGGAATTGGATTCAAATCCTACCTCTGACACTACCTGTGCAACCTGGGGCAAACTACCTACTCCTTGGTCCCCAGTTTCCTCAACTATAAAATAAGGGGCTTGGACTAGTTGGTCTCTGAGATCCCTTTTAGCTCGAAATCTGTGATCCTATGATGTACAAGGGCAGTTAGGTGGTGCAGTGGAGAGGGTACCGGCCTGGAGTCAGAAAGACTCCTCCTGAGTTCAAATCTGGCCTCAGACACTTACTAGCAGTGTGACCCCAGGCAAGTCACTTAACCCTATTTGCTTCAGTTTCCTTATCTGTCAAATGAGCTGGAGAAGGAAATGGCAAACCACTCTAGTATCTTGGCCAAGAAAACCCCAAATGGGGTCATGAAGAGTCAGACAATAACTGAAACGACTGAACCACAAAAAAAAAATTATGTAGAACTCTGTGATTCTAGGTCACTTACCCTCCCTGTGTCTAACTTATACCATCTGCAAAATAAGGCAATGAGACAAGGCAATCTCCAGGATCCCACCCAACCCTAAATCTATGATTCTTTGAAGCAAAGATATCTCTGAAATTCTGAGCCTTAGTCCTGAGAGAGTAGGTGGTAGCAACAACAGAAATTAGGAGAAGAGGCAGGTTGGGGGTCCTAAGTCAGGAGGGAGGTATTGAGTTTTAGATTTCAGTAAGACATCCACAGGGATGATCAGAAGGCAGGTAGAAATTTGGGAGGAGAACTTAGAGCTGGAATCTAGACTGGGGAGTGATCTGCATAGAAGTGATAATTAAACTCTTGGAAAGGGCCAAGAGCATCAAAGGAGATGGTATACGTAAGAGAGAAACCATCTGAATAGAGCAAACCCAATAATGTGTGATCTTAGCCTCCTTTGGAGGACACTCTAGTCAATTAAGCTAAAAAAGAGTCCGTCATAATCTAGGCATTAAAAAAATCTGATTCATAAGTATTTGTTTCTTTTAGAACAGGGCGTCCTATTCGGCTTGTTTTAGATAGAAGAGAGGATATGTTAACGAAAGGGGGAAGGCATCCACTTTTTGCAAAATACAAAGTAAGTATTGGGGACCCTGATGTTAACATCTCTCATTTTCTATGTACATTTGGAGTTATAATTTCCTACTATTTTGGCATCACATTGATTCAGTTGGCAAAGTTCTTTCAACGAATGGGAGAAAGCTGTTTCTAAGAATCTTGCCACAGATGTCATGTCATTAGTAATAATAAGCAAGAAAGGATACACAGGGTTTGAAGACATTTCAACCTCATAGCCATCACTGGGCTCTAGGTTTCTTGACTCTATCATAGGCAGCAAGATCATCCAATCAGGGTTATGACCTGCCTATTAAGCCAAAGGACTAGGATCGAGCACCCACTCTCCCTTTATTGCCTACGCCCATTATAGTCTCAGTAGAAGATGAAGTCTTTATGAGGGCGGCATGAACTTGTCCAAAACATTCGTTACAGTGGTGACTGGTGAGTCTCCAAGGGCCCCCCAATTCTGAGCTACATGCCCCGTGATAATTAATATATCAGTATGTTAGATCTCTGTCTAGAACATGTAGTAATAATAATCCCTAGAATTGTAGGAGGGGTAGATATCTTCCCCTCTCTGTTCTGGTCAACCAACTAGGCACATACATAGGTTAATAGGAATAATAGGATATACATATACATGTATAATATGCATTATATATATATGAATGAATGTGTATGAATATGCATACTGTATGAATAATAGGATATGCATATGTAAAAAGCTGGAAATTATATGTAGGATATCTATATATAAGCCAGATATGATAAAATATAGAAACTAGTTGCAGAATAAGATATATTTATATATATGTGAAGATAGAGGAAATCAGCTGTTGCTATAAAAATAAGATACAGGGAAAAAGAAGAATTGTGTTATCTCTCATTCCAAGTTTTCACTGATCACTGCTTGATGAAAAATGGGTGCTAATAACTAGGTCCATACCCTGAATACATAGCAGTATCCAAAGACAGTTTCCAAACAGTTAGGCTCACCATCACGGACACGAATCACAATCTTAGACCATGAAAGAGTCCAAAAAATCATGGACCTTTTCTAAAATGCATAATGAATATACTTTATAGCCTATTTCAAGAGTTTTCTGCTTTGCCACAGGACGGGACTACCATAATTAGAAGTTAATGAGAGGGAGATTTTAGCTTCATATAACAAAAAAAAATTTCTAATACTTGGAGCTTACAAAAAATAAGATAATAATAGCACAAATTATAGCACTTTGTGGCTTCCAAAGCAATTTCCTCATAATTCTCTTGAAGTAGTGAGTTCCCTGTCACTGAAAGTCTTCAAGTAAGGACTGGACAGACGCTTCATTTAACAAAAAATTGTATTTAATTCCTGCTTTGTCCAGAACACTCTGCTAGGCATCAGATGAGAGACGAAGTTTAAGTAAGACACAGTCCCTGCTCTCATAGAGCATATATCCTTCCAAGGGATGGGACACAAATGTAGATAACTATAATATACCATATTACATGGTAATAGTCCCTTTCTTGTCCTATCTACCCTCCTCCACTTCATGAACACCCTGGAGCCTTGGGTGTAAATGAGGAAGAAAACAGAGAATAGGCAGCAGAAAGTGACAAGGGCAAAAGAAAGAGGTGCTACGGTATCAGGAAAGGAGGCAGCATTTCAGCTTAAATTTTTGTTTTGTTTTGTTTTTTGACTAGGCAATGGGGTTAAGTGACTTGCAGGGTCACACAGCTAGTAAATGTCAAGTGTCTGAGGCTAGATTTGAACTCGGGTTCCTCCTGTCTCCAGGGCCGGTACTCTATCCATTTTGCCACCTAGTGCCCCTCAGCTTAATTTTAAAAGACAAAGAGAAAATCAACAGTCGACAGAGGGGAGTGGGGGTAAATTCCAGGTATAGGAAAGTTTCAGCACAATCTCCCAGGGATGTGATAGGAAGGGATGTGGTTGGAGAGGTTGGAATGGATGATTTCAAAGGTCCCTTCCAACTCCAAGATTCTCTAATTTTAAGCTATTTAATTAAGATGCTTTTTGAAGCCTGATGCCATTATATGAAGGATTTTAAATTGTTTAATAATAAAATAATTTTTAAAAATGATTATGAAGGGGAAACTAGGTAAAAGAATAAACAAAGGCATTTATATTAGTGATTCTTCATAAATGTGAAAAACATTGAAAGAAGGCACATACATTTAGATATAAAAGCATCTTAACTATAAGGATTTGGGAGCGGCAGAGTAAATGACATGAAAATGGTTGGGCTACCCTAGGCAAAGTCACTTCCCCTAGCGTTTCTACCTTGTAGCACTGAGAGCCTCACAAAATATCTTTCCCATTAAGAAAACTCCCCGAAAAAAATATGTGTGTGTGTGTGTGTGTCTGTGTGTGTGTGTGTGTGTGTGTGTATGAAAAGCCACAAGTTGGATGGACATCATTGGAAGACTTTTTGGTCATCTTAGTGGCATTTGTCTTTACTCAACTATTAGACAAAGATGCTCTTATGAAGATGTTTTGCTGAAATTTTGCTTGTGCCATGTCAAATGTTGATCATTGTCTGAGCTATACAAATAAATAACATAGAATCATAAACCATTAGAGTTGAAAAGGACTTTAGAGGACTTCTAATCCAGCTCCCTTATTTTATAGAAGAGGAAACTGAGGCCCAAGGGGTTGAAACAAAACCCCAAATGACAGAGCTGATTAGTGGCAAGAGCTAGATATCAAACCCATGTTTCTTGGGGTCCCAGTAAAGTGCTCTCTCCACTATCCTACACTCCTCTAAATGTATACTTTATTTGAAAAAATACCTTTGAAATAACACATAGATTGTATATTTGTGGTTAATCACTACTTTATAATATTCCCCAAGGCCAAGATATTCAATAACTCAGGATGTTTAGGTTTATATTATATTGTCCTCTGACAATAATGGTTCATGTCATTATAGAGAAAAGAATTATGCTTGTTCATTCATCTTCCTATCCTCAAACACATGTGAAGAAAAATTTGGGGGCAGCTAGGTGGCGCAGTGGATAGAGCACCAGCCCTGAAGTCAGGAGGACCTGAAGTCAAATCTGACCTCAGACCAAACACTTGACATTTACTAGCTGTGTGATCCTGGGCAAGTCACTTAACCCCAATTGCCTAAAAAGCAACGAAAAAAGAAAGAAAGAAAGAAAGAAAGAAAGAAAGAAAGAAAGAAAGAAAGAAAGAAAGAAAGAAAGAAAGAAAGAAAGAAAGAAAGAAAGAAAGAAAGAAAGAAAGAAAGAAAGAAAGAAAGAAAGAAAAATTCTCAGCAACTTTACTTTCCAATGTCAAGAACACAGCTAGGAGATTTTTTTTGTCTTATCCATGCCCTGTCCACTCCCAGGCTCCAAATCCAAGTTGAAAGGTGGCTTTACAACTAACTTATTTGCATTATATTACAATTAACTTAATAAATGTAAAATAGGCTGCTTTGCCATTGTTATTTTTAAGACTTCAATACTTATTATTATATTGTTGTTTCCTTAATTTTGACTAGTCAGAAAGAATTCTCCCAACTCATTATTATAAAGTCTGATTTTTGGAATTTTTAAAAAAGAGCTATAGTTTTGTCACTTTTCAGTAAATATGGCACAAATACAGAAGTATGAAGAGCTACAGAAGAGACTAGTTATCGTTTTGGGGGAGAAAAGTCAGGGTTTCAGCATATTGGGAAGGGTATAGATGTAGCATTGACTATAACGTAAGGAGAAAGACATACTAAAAGAAAAAGAATCAGCCAAAGTAAATGTAGAGAGGGAGAAAAACACAAGTCTGAGAGTCAGAAAACACATGGTCTAATCCTAGCTATTCCATTAACTAGTTAAAATACATTGGCCAGGTCACTTTCCTTCCCTTGTTTCCTCATCTGTATAATGAGGGAGTTGGATTAGATAATCCCCTCCAACTCTGACATATAATAATACAGCTCTGTGAATCCAGGGAGTCCCTGTCAGTTAACAACCAAGAAACAGGCTATTAGCACAAGCTAATAACTCCTTATTATGCAGATACCCACATGCCAAGAAGTATATTTTGTTTTTGGTTAATGCACCCCAAAGTAAGATTGTGTTGGAGCTTGTATCCTTAATGTAAAATGCAGAATGGATCGGAGACATGCCTATCATTTTATCATAGGTAGGATTCATGAACAATGGGAGGATCAAGGCTATGGACATTGAATGTTATATCAATGGAGGGTGTACCCTGGATGACTCTGAACTGGTAAGTATTTAAAAAAAAAAAAAGAGCAACTTCATTGATTAAAAAATGGAATGTAAAAATTCTAGATTGGTTGTTGTTAGGGCAATTAATCCTTCTTTAGCAGACCGTTGGCTCCAGCAAATTAAACCACAAGTTCTCAACCTAGTTCAAATGGCTAAGAAATTGTTAACAGGATTTTTACAGAGCCAGTCTCTAACCTCAGAATGCTCAGAGCCACACAAAGCAGGTCCAGAGATGGGAGTGCCAGTAATCAAGTAGTAGTTTCATTAATCAGTTTCAGCGTGAGGAAGGCTCCCTAAGCTGAAGTAAAAGCACAGGTTATATACTTAAATCACAGGTGGAGGAAAAGGGGAGAAGGTAGATTACAAACAATCATTTCCCAGGGTCTGAGTGGTTTCCCACAACCATCCCGCAATATAACAATTCTCTGATTAGTTCAAATTTGGGGGGTTGTGACCACCCCGCAAGACATAGAACCAGAGTTCTGCGATGGGGAGAGGTTCTACAATCTTTGGTTCACTTCACTTAAGGTACCTAGGCACAAGAATGCCAGTAATTGTGAGAGTGTTGTCAAGGGTATGATTGATCCTTTCAAGCTGCATTGTAAGTCTAACTCACAAGCTAGAAGAAGCAATTCTGAGAATCTAATCTATTAGTATATTCATTACACAGATCACATTAATTAATATGAAAAATCATAATTCCCTTCACAAAATTCAAGTCTGCAATTAATCATAAAGAAAAAAATGTTTTGACTAATAATCTTTACCATCACTTTTGCTTTAGGTGATAGAATATCTTATACTAAAACTGGAAAATGCTTATAAAATTAATAATCTCCGATTCTTGGGCCGGGCCTGTAAAACCAACTTGGCTTCCAACACAGCCTTTCGTGGATTCGG